TTTATCTCTAATTATGTAAAGGAGGTGATTAGTTAGAGTTTACGTTTCAGAACAAAAGACTCAATTATCTTTTAGGCATTTATCCCTACACTTACTCAATTTGCACATAATTTGCTTGTACGACAGGGAATGTCAAGCTTAATGGTGGAATCAGCCAACAAGATGCTGGAAAAGTGGACAGCTCTCATAAACTCCGGAAAGCCGGAAATCGATGTCGAGAGTGAGATCATATCGACGGCAGGGGAGATCATCGCCAAGACCAGCTTCGGCATTAGCCACGATGATGGTAAGAAAGTTCTCGAGAAACTGCGAGCCATGCAGGTCACTCTCTTCAAGACAAACCGTTTCGTGGGTGTGCCTTTCAACCAATTTATCACCCCCAAACAATCCCTAGAAGCAAAAAGACTAGGAAAAGAAATAGACGACCTACTAATGTCGATCATCGATGATCGCAAGGCCAACTTCGTGGCGAATAACCAGAAGGACTTGCTCGGGTTGTTACTCGAAGGGAACTGCGGAAACGGAAAAGTAGGGAAGAGTTTGACGACGAGAGAGTTGGTGGACGAGTGCAAGACGTTCTTTTTCGGGGGTCATGAGACGACGGCGTTGGCTCTGTCGTGGACGTTGCTGCTTTTGGCCATGCATCCCGAGTGGCAAGACCAGCTCAGAGATGAGATCAAACAAGTGGTTGGTGATAAAAAAGAGATTGATGCAACCATGCTTGCCGGACTAAAGAAGGTAAAAACACTATTCGAAATGAGAAGCAATAGATGCACGTTTTTGTACATAGAGCTAGTTTTGTTTGCATGTGCTTTCAATTGCTTGATGTTGCTCAGATCATATTTCATATGGAAAAAGTCAGTGTCTGCGTTCCCGAAGTTGGTATGATTTCTTGTTTCATAATGGCTGAATAGTTTCATGTAGAAAATATCTAATCACGGGAACATGAGCATGGTTCGTTTTGGATAGAAATGAGCCTACAATTAAACTGTGCATATGAATAATTTGATACAGTTGTACTTTAATTGGCGAAAGCGCAGTCTTTAACCACGATCCAGAGAACAAGGTAAAAATCAGAAAATTAATGTAGAACATAGCTATGCATCATGCGCAGGTAATTGAAGATGCCTTATCTTCAACCTTTTTTTAATAACTGTCCTGTTCAAATTCCATATAAAAGTGCTTATATGTCCGTGTGCGGGTAGTGGTCTTCGTCTTTCCTCCTTTTGGCTTAATTTGAGGGAGGTGGTCAACGTTGATCCGCCATATTCATGGACGGAAATGTGGAGATAACATAAGCGTGTGACCACCATACAATAGAACTGCATGTTTTTGCCATGTGTATGCGTTTTAATGACTCCTTTAAATGAATATATAGCCACAAGCCAAGCTAAGTAGTCAGTGTCCATCTTGCCATAAACCGCTTTTGTAATTCTCACATGACAGCCCGTGAAAATATTAATTTTCCATCTGGATAGCTAATTACATGGCATGTGCATGCACGTCTGTGTATTTTCTCCTTAATAGTAAAGGTAAATGTAATTGACAGAATTGTCGATTTAACTAGATTATGTAATTGATGATTAATTGCAGATGGGATGGGTGATGAACGAAGTTCTGCGGCTGTATAGCCCGGCACCGAACGTGCAAAGACAGGCGCTGGAGGATATTAAAGTACACGACATGGTGGTCCCTAAGGGAATGAATATGTGGATTGACGTGGTGTCAATGAACCATGACCCCGCCCTGTGGGGGGATGACGTGAACCAGTTCAAGCCGGAGCGGTTCGAGGAGGACACGCTCTACGGCGGGTGCAAGCACAAGATGGGGTTTTTGCCATTTGGGTTTGGAGGGAGAATGTGCATCGGTCGGAACTTGACCATGATGGAGTACAGGATTGTCTTAACCCTAATTCTCTCCAAGTTCTCCTTCTCTGTTTCACCAAACTACTGCCACTCGCCTTCCATTTTGCTCTCTCTTAGACCTTCCCAAGGCTTGCCACTCATTGTCAAACCTCTTTAGGATAGTCAGCAATAATACTTCTTTATTGTAAGAGTAATAATGTATAACCAATCAATAATATAGAATCTGTTGTACTTGTCAAAAGCAATATTAGGGATATACACAGGGTCATCGTAACTTATGTATTCACACATATTATTATGATACCGAACTTTAGTGAAATTTTCGGTTATTTTATTACGATAAGTGTTAATCGAAAGAGGCCCATGATTATTTGAATTACGATATGGCTACTTTTCTCATTTTTGAGGGCTCAGCATGATGATGAAAGTTACCGAAGCACACTTTGGGCATGTAGTTTCTACACGAAGGATGAGAGGGATTCAAATTCAATTCACAAACTTAAGAATATTAAATAAATTATGTTGTAACTGGTTAACTTGATTTGATCCTTGACCAGTTTCAAAAGTGATCAGGCCCATGATCTTTCATTTTTGGTAACGAGAATGAAATTTTTCCTGAATTTGAGGTGGAGACAATCTGGAGACTATATGAATTTACAAATGTACAGCACTTGAAAGGTGCTTTATTTCTAAATTCGAGCAAGTGTTAGACAAGCAACAGGAAAGTTTATTTGCCTGCCCCTCATGTATATTTTCTGATGTGTATCTTTTGCATGTTGAATTCACTTCGTCACTATTTGGGAAAGTGCTGCTAAAAGTTGGCCCACCCAACGGAGGAATGAGAAGAACGCAAAATGCATGCAAAATAGAGAGCTAGCACGTGACCTTTAAAAAATGGCACTTATTCATCAGCTCATTGGCCAGCCGTAATTGATCACACACAAGCATAGCGTGGATAAGAATCATGATCGACTATAGTCCACACTAGATCTGAAAATCATATGATTATTTAAACCAAAGAAATTTAGTAAAATGAAACCCTCTTTGTTATAAAAATCTTCGTCGACTATAATATCCGGTGTTCTGACCAATAATAATAATAATAATAATAATAATAATATGTGGTGCAAGTGAATTACTTATATCAAACTAATATTACTTGGAACCTATTTTATTTTTTGTTTAAGAAAATTTTCATTCATTACAAAAAATGATACATGAAAAGATCCATAGGACATTCCAGAAATCACCACAACAAAGCAAGCCCAAGAAGCCGCAAAACAAACCAAAATCAAGAAATCAAGATATATCATCGTAGCATGATCAGCAGAAATAAGCACAAGCTTGTCCTTCAAGAACGGATATGCGACTGCATCCAAGCAAAACGACCGGCATTGATCACTGAATCACACATCATTATCAGTGATTAGCGCACACCGAGATCTCCATTTGCAGATACGGCTTTGCCTTGGGGCGGTGTGCGCACAGGTTCAGCAACCCCAATACCATCACCATACGGAGACAACAAAAACATGTTGAACAAGCTCAGATGTGACCCTTGCGAGAGCAAACCCTTTAGCAAGTGCGAGATGCCTTAACTTCTAACAAAACATGTTAACGAGCGCAAATATGATATCGGAACTGCTGTGACACCATTAAAACTAGAGACAGAGTGTTTATTTATTAAAACTCTTGGATTGAAAAATAGATCGAGAGAGAAAATTTCCCAAATTTAAGATTGGGAAAGTATAGCTCTCAAATCTAGATTTATATTGGGAGAGTGGAGCAAGAACAATGAAAATATAAGGAAAAACAACCAAAGAGAGAGGGGAGGGAGAGATCAATGAAAATCCCTCCTCTTTGGAATTTTTTTTGGTCGAACCCTTTACAAGTTGAAGAAGCGAAAAAACGCTGAAACTTAGGGTGCGTTTGTTTCACGGAAAATGTACCATTTCTGAAAAACACTTTCCAAGAAGTCATTTTCCAAGAAAATGAGTTCGTTTTCCAGTGTTTGACTAAAACCTAAAAAAGACTTGAAAAGTATTTTCAGTTATTTAATGAGAAAAATCTAATGGTGAAAATTACTGAAAATTTTTATATTTTCTAATTTATTTTTATTTTGGAAAAAGAAAGGCCTGCGACCGACAGAGGGAGGAAGAAGGAAAAATAAAAGAAAAATAAAAAAAGAAGAGAAAAGAAAAATATTAACAAATTCAAGATGAACAATTTCGAAAAGTGTTTTCACCTTCTTAGATTATGGAATTCACTTTCTTAATTTTATACATGAATGTTTTCCTTAACCGAAAAGTATTTTCAATTAACTTATCATTTTCGACGAACCAAACGAGTGAAAGTCCGGAAAACGAATTCCCAGAAGACACTTTCCCTCAAACAAACGCAACCTTAGAGAGGGAGAAAGAGCTAGGAGCCTAATTAAGATGCGTTGATATTCATAATTCATCCTAGCATGTCGTAGAGTAGCCTAATCTCATCCTCGGCTCCAAATAAGGTCGCTGAGAGATTATCATTTGACGAACCAGGCCCTATTAGAAATGATGCTCTAATGGGTCTAGCTTAACTTGGGCTATTTGTTCTTATCATTGACTTAGAAAACATAAGGAAAAAATTATTTAAAAAAAAAAAAAGAATTTCAGTCTCCAAGTGCACTAGGAAAGTCTGTCTTCCCTTTTTGTCTAGTAAAATGTTGGAAATTCAGGCTGCATTTGCTATAGAAAAATGAATGATTTAGAAAAAGTTTTCCTAAAAAAATAATTATCTGTATCACTTGAATTAACTAATCAATGAAAAATATTTTCATTTTCGAGAACAACTTATATCTAAATATTTTTATAGACGATAAAAAAAATTTCATCCATTTATTTTTATAAGTAATAAAAATAATTATTTTTAGAAAAATATTCTCTAAATCAATTATTTATCGCAAAATAATTCGAGGTGCAAATATGAATAACTAATCATCATTTTTTTGGTCAAGTTAATCATCATTTGATAAAAGGAACAATCGTTGGAAAATCGTGTAAAACACCTGCCATGCCAAAACGACGACGTTTGCTTGGCGTCCCCTCCTCCTCTTCCTCCTCCAAAGCTTCGCAGTTTCTCTTCCCCCTTTCCCTCCAACAAGCGAGCCCCCAAAGAAACCCCTAAGCACTGACTACTGACTACTGACTCCAGAAGCTCCGGAAAGCTTTGGCTCGCGGGGTTGCAGAAGATCGGAGGAGGAAGATGGGGACGTCGGTGCAGGTGACGCCTCTCTGCGGCGTCTACAACGAGAACCCGCTCTCCTACCTCATCTCCATCGACGGCTTCACCTTCCTCGTCGACTGCGGCTGGAACGACCACTTCGATCCCTCCCTCCTCCAGCCCCTCTCCAGGTCTATCCCCCATCCATCATCCCCGTGTGATTTCGGTTTCTTCGTTTCGATCGGCGGCGCGGTAATGGGGGAGCGCGGTGAAGTCGCGAGGGGGTGGTTTGACCGTTTGGTTCGCCGTGGTGGTGGTGCAGGGTGGCGACGACGGTAGATGCGGTGCTGCTGTCGCACCCGGACACTCTCCACCTGGGAGCCCTGCCTTACGCCGTGAAGCAGCTCGGGCTGTCGTCTCCTGTTTACGCCACCGAGCCGGTTTTCAGATTGGGGCTGCTCACTATGTACGATCAGTACCTCTCGCGGAAAGTAAGTAGTGCTCGGTACCAAGACAGGTTTTTTTTTTTTTTTTTCTTTTTATCTTCTTTTCCCGCCGCTGAATTGGTGCAATTGCGTGATTTTGACCTCCTGCCTCGACATTGCTTGGCCTGGAAATCGCAAATATAACAAGGTGAATTTGCGGGTGAATTGAGTTTGACTTAGTTCGAGCGAAGAAATAGGCCAAGGTCATGATTTTTCCTTCTTCTTTCTGTACCATCTGTATCGATTAAGAACTAGTTCGACTGATTGTTCAGCGCTTGGTGTTGCGTACATCATATCAGCTGCTGGTGCTTGGTTAACCATAGGAACTTTTGTTTTCATCTTTTGATCCCCCGAAAGACACCTGTAATCTGGAGAGCTGATTCTAATGGGTACATCACCTGCAGCGGTATTCTTTTCATTGTTGTGTTGGTTAGCACGGTTTACTATTACAGCAGTGTATGCTTTTTTGAGCAATGAGAAATAATAATGAAAATGTCGCTCTCCTTTTTTTCTGCAGCAAGTATCAGAGTTTGATCTATTCACACTGGACGATATTGATTCTGCTTTCCAAAATGTGACCAGGCTGACATATTCTCAGAACCATCATTTTTCCGGTAGGCATTATGAACAATTGTATCATTTTGATCGACGCTAGTTGGATTTTGATATATTCTGTCATTCGACTGCAGTAGCTCAGACTGAGCCCTTTCTTGGGCCATTTTAAGCGCGATTCGATATTTGTATACCCTTGTTTTTTACTACTTTGTGTTGATTCTGGACACATCTGTAAACTCCCTGTATCTCTGCATTGATTGTGGTTAGTGTATTGACTTTGTCAGGAAAAGGGGAGGGGATTGTGATTTCTCCACATGTGGCTGGGCACCTCCTGGGAGGTACAATCTGGAAAATATCAAAGGATGGAGAGGATGTCATATATGCAGTGGATTTTAACCATCGTAAAGAAAAGTAAGAGTTTCAACCGAGTACCTGCCTTGGCTGGGTTATATATACCACTAGAAATTACTTATTGTAATTATGTGCTTCTGTCAGGCATTTGAATGGAACTGTTCTTGAATCCTTTGTCCGACCTGCCGTTTTGATTACGGATGCTTACAACGCCTTAAACAATCAGCTCCCAACTAAACAAAGGGAGAGAGGATTTATAGGTATTGCCCTCTCCTTTCAAGAGTGTATAAATAAAGCAGCGAGCGCTTTTTGTATATTATCGAAGTTTGTCTTTCAGGGTTCAATTTCACTGTTATGCCCTGACTGATAAGCTCCTACATATCTGCTTGTTCATGTGTATGATTTAACTACTCACATGCTAATATTCTGTTCTTATGAAGATGCTATAAAAAAGACTGTCGAAGCAGGAGGAAATGTATTAATACCTGTTGACACTGCTGGACGAGTGCTGGAACTTATTCTGATACTGGAAGAGGTCAGTCATGCAATCTAGGCCTGATTTTTACTTTTGTGGCTATGGAAGACAAATCTTGCTAAATTTACATCCTGACTGCAGAGTCCTCTGAATTGTCCAATCTATTTCCTCACATATGTCGCCTCAAGCACAATTGATTATGTCAAGAGTTTCCTTGAGTGGATGAGCGACAATATAGCGAAGTCTTTTGAGCATACACGTGACAATGCTTTTCTTCTGAAGTAGGTGATTCTTTCTGCTCAAAGTTTATATTCTTTGAATGGCTATTCTTTGCGCTTCATCTGATTGCACTTTCAAGTTATTGAAATTACCTCCTAAAATATTTTTGAATTTTTTACATTATGCTTACCACTTACAGGCATGTCTCACTCCTAATTAACAAGAATGATCTTGATAATGCTCCAGCTGGTCCAAAGGTTAAATCTCCTTTTTTATTTATTCGTTATTGTATGCTTCTTTATTCTTTTCGTTGCTAATTATTTCAAGTTACATTAGGTTGTTCTAGCATCCATGGCCAGCTTAGAAGCAGGCTTTGCTCACGATATATTTGTGGAATGGGCAACTGATACCAAGAATCTCATACTTTTTACTGAAAGAGGCCAGGTAATCCGACGACTAATGTGGGTGCTACTTAATTGGTTGTGATTTGCACGATTGTAGTCATTCTGCTGTTTAACTGTGTGAACTAATGCAAACTGCTCTTTTGGGCTGAAATGATGAGAAAAATCTTCAGCCCGTTAGGCATCTTCTTGATTTAGCCTCACATATATTCCTGAATGAATCTGTGGAATTATTTGTACGTTTCAGCATATAAGATCTGCAATAGATTCATTAACAATTGGAGTAAATATTAATCTAGCATGCATGGGTATAAATTTACGTTCTGGAAATCAGTGCCCTCCTGATTACTGATATCAGTGGCTCTTCGAATTTTAGCATCAGAGAATAACATTGTTAGGGGTGACGATTATCTTCCCAGAAGGCGGACAAACTTTTCTAGATAGTTGTACTGTTACCTTTTTTTGGGCAATGTTTCAATGGAAACCAAATTGCCAGCATTATGAGGAATAAATTAACGCTATTTGAACAGTTCTGGCAAACAAATGATTGATGGAATTGATCTCTACTGGTGTTATGATATAGTTTCGTCAGTTGTTTAGAAGCAACCTGCATATAAGATGAAAAACATAATTACTGATGAAAAAGCTATTGTTCATTTCAGTGAAACGAACTTCCAAAAATGATTTGTGGCAGATGTGAATTCCAAGTTGATTTGCTGCACAGATTTTCCTTTCCTTATCATACTTATGTGCTGACAGTTACCAACGAATTTGTAGTTTGCAACCTTAGCTCGCATGCTTCAGGCAGATCCACCCCCAAAAGCTGTCAAAGTTACCATGTCTAAAAGAGTTCCTTTGGTTGGGGATGAGCTACTTGCTTATGAAGAAGAGCAAAATCGGATAAAGAAGGAAGAAGCTATGAAAGCTAGTATTATCAAAGAAGAGGAATCAAAAGCAGTGCATGCATCTGAAAATGTGGGTGATCCGATGGTCATTGATGCCAGCAACACTCAGGCATCGCAAGAAGGTATTTTTTCTCAAGAAGTTGATATAGTAGCAATTTTTGTCATGGTTTATGTCTTAAATGTTATCTGTAGCGAAAAGATGTTCTCATTAGCTGGAAAAGTTGGTAGTAATGAATCCTAAGTTGTATTCAAGTAAAAGGTGGCAATTCTTTATGATTGAAGCGTTTGCTAAAGATTCTCGCTTTTGAGTAACCTTCTTTGGGGAACCAAATTCTCATCTTTCTTCCTCCGGTTTCACTACACGGTGAAGCTTCACCTTGGACAGCCCTTGCCCTGAACAATCTTTTCCTGTTAAGGAAGACTAAGCATAACAGTGTACACAAGTTTTCTGCTCGACATTATTTCTGCCCTATTTTAATGTTTATTGTTATTTCTGGCAGCAGCTGGTTCACATGGTGCCAGATACCGTGACATTTTTATTGACGGATTTGTTCCACCACCCAACTCTGCTGCTCCTATGTTTCCTTTTTATGAGAATGCCTCTGAGTGGGATGATTTTGGTGAAGTGATCAATCCTGATGACTATGTAATTAAAGATGACGACATGGATCAAGGAGCTTTGCCCGTAAGTATTCTATCACAATTTGCAGCCTCTATGCTTGCCTCTTCGACTGCTCTAGGTACCATAGGACGGTCACCTTTGAATATCATGTCTATTCATTAATGCATAGTCCAGTAAAATGAAACAAAGAACATGAAAAATATTGGAAGTTTTTGCCAGGATTAGCGATTCTTAGCTTTATCATTAGAACTTTTGACCTGAAGAAGTTATGTAGGTCGTGTCTTAGAGTTTGTCGACACAATATCTTGCAAATTGTTCTTGCGAGTGTTTGCGTTTCCCTAGCGTCACATAAATGAATAACTTCTGCTAAATGATCCAGAAGAAGGGTAGAAAAGAAACCAAATTAAGTAAAGTGAATTATGGTTTGAAGCATGTAAATTGGTATGGGTTTGGAGCTTTGAACATGTAATGCTTATTTCATGTCAAAGAATGGTATCAGATCATCCCTTGGAACCTATGCTAGTACAGTGGCATGCGAATCATATCGAGAGAGTATTACATAGTCCAGCAGTACTTGTTTTACAATGAGAAGATAGATCCCCTGGTTGACTCGAACAAAATAATGGTCTTTCAGCGGTGTGAGCTTTTCTAATGAAACTTTTCAGTTGAAATTCACCGAGTACTGTCGTCTTTAGTACGGTAGTCTTTTGATACATCATTTTTTACCTTCTATGGTGCTAACATGACGAGATATTTCATTGGATTGCTTATGCGGCTTTGCAGTTTGTGAGCAATATGGATGGAAAACTTGATGAAGGACCTGCTAGTTTGATACTTGATATGAAGCCCTCCAAAGTTGTATCGACTGAACTAACTGTAAGTGAGTTCTGCCACAAGTGATGCATGGCATTCATCATTTTATTCCTGAACTAAAAGTACAGTCATATCTCACATTGCCTCCTGAAAAGAGTACTCTCATGATGGAGATTGACAATTTGGATGGGAAATAAACTTTCATCTAACCTTGAATTGTGGGGAAGCACCTATTTGTTTTATTGTTTCATATTTTTTTTCCTTCCATTTTTAGAAGCCTTAAAAAAGGACAGAGCATATTCATGGCATGCTATTGCTCTGTCAGATTTTATTGTCTTTAATTCTGAATTTGGCTGCGAAAACTTGAATTTTGTGGACATTTGGGAACAAATGATGCTTTTTTGTACTTTGCGCTGTTATTACGTTGCATTTGTGAATTTAATTCATGAAAATTATTTAATTGTTTGATGAACCTGCCTTCTACATGTGTTGTGATTTGTAATATCAGGTGCAAGTCAAATGCTCATTGATATACATGGACTTTGAGGGACGTGCGGACAGCCGAGCAATTAAATCAATACTTGCCCATGTGGCTCCCCTAAAGCTTGTAAGGTTATCTTTGCTTTAAATAGTTTGAAGGACGACCAGAGACTGTTGGGTCTTTGTATCAGGTTCAAACTGTTATTATGCTTCGAAGGCAATCATGATTTAGAATCCGATAGCATCTTAGTGTTCATACACGCATTGTCATGCCTGCTGAAATAAGGAGTAGTTTTTATTATTGTTTTCCATCCAATGTGAGGTTTTGACCTGGTGCTACTTACCATTCATCAGAAGATACAACTTATTCATTACTCACAAGCTTATAGTACTTATTTTGTTGGTCAAATGATAGTTATCCTGTTGATGTTCTTCTGCGACTAAGCATAATTGTCATTGCAAAATATAACCATATGATTGTTGAATATAAACTCATGTATGCACTTTTTTGAAGGTTTTGGTGCGAGGATCAGCCGAGGCAACGGAGCATTTGAAGCAACACTGCTTGAAAAATGTCTGCCCTCAAGTCTATGCTTCCCAAATTGAAGAAACAATTGATGTCACATCTGATTTATGTGCTTATAAGGTACCCTTAAGAAATGCTATGTAATTTGAGTCATCGTGATGCTGCAAATATGTGTCCTCTGAATCTTGTTTTGTGACAATTAGGTGCAACTTTCTGAGAAATTGATGAGCAATGTGCTTTTTAAGAAGGTGAGCTCCTTATGTTTTCGTTCATCTTCATAAAACTTGATCGCCATGTCATTTTCCAGTTTGAGTCTCTTGCTGACGGATTATACAGTTAGGAGATTATGAAATAGCTTGGATCGATGCTGAAGTTGGAAAGACAGAGAATGGAATGTTGTCTTTGCTTCCGCTGTCAACTTCAGCACCACCACATAAATCGGTACTTGTTGGTGATTTGAAGCTGGCGGATTTCAAACAGTTCCTAGCCAGCAAGGGTGTTCAGGTAAAATTTCTCTGCTTGCTAACACGGGTTTATTCAACATAAGTAGTGATGATGGAGTTTTTAACCAATGAGCAAAGACAATCTGACAGTGCTCGACACAATTGAATCTTGAACTTTCGGTATATGCAGGTAGAATTTGCAGGTGGAGCTCTTAGATGCGGTGAGTATGTAACACTACGCAAAGTTGGCGATGCAAGCCAGAAGGTCAGTAATTAATTGTACTCAATTTTGTCCGTTTTCTTTTTTTCTACTTCCCTCTTGCTTGGTCCTGACTCCCAACTATTGTCCATGCCAACCCCTTTCGCCTCTGAACAAAGTAGTCAGAGCTGTATAGTTTCTCATGATTGAATTTGCCCGTGTTTGAGTTATTTTGTAGGAAAGAACTATGAATGCCTTCTACCTTTTGTTTTTTTCTACCGGGTCATTGATTCTGTGTGTTTTCATTTCGTAGGGCGGTTTATCTGGCACTCAGCAGATTGTCCTCGAGGGACCTCTCTGTGAAGATTATTACAAGATTCGTGATTATTTGTACTCGCAGTTTTATTTGCTTTGAGATTAGATACGCATGCAATTCTACTTATGGGGTAAAGAAGCCTGCGCCATGTCACATTATTCTGCTATGAGCCATCAAAAGCTTTTTTTCTCATGAACCAAACGCAAGTGCCATCACCACATGCAGCAATGGCCGTACACCGTGAACGACCTTCGCCACCACTTCAGCAGAGTCCATTCTTAAGTAGCACCACCTTAAGTATTTTGCCATCTTTCTCTCTCTATCTCGACATGGACCTGTTTCTTCTAACCACTATTGCACAGTGGTTACACCCACAGCCATAGATTTAGCCATATCGTAAGTCTTCTGAGCAATGGGCATAAAATGTTTGTCTTTCACTTATTTTCCAAACAAAGGATGTGAAACAATTAACCTGATCTTATCCAACTTTACCTTATGTATGTCTGCCAGTAACAACCTCGCATTGTGTGAAACCGATTCCGAGGGTACAGATCAGTGCGTTCAATCTGGATATTGCCCAGTGTGGTTTGGAAGCAGCCAGCCGACAGCATCAAGAGCATCGAAACTGTATGCCAGCTTATAAGCAAAAATGAACAAGTAGAAAGGATGAGCGACAATATAGCAAGGTCTTTTGAGCATACACTGGACAATGCTTTTCTTCTGAAGTAGGCGATTCGTTCTGCTGGAAGTTTCTGTTTTTTGAAATGGGTCGTCTTTGCGCTTCATCTGATTGCACCTTGAAGTGATGCACATCTACCTCCAAAATGGTTTTCGAGTTATTATAACCAATGCTTTTCTTCTGAAGTAGGCGATTCGTTCTGCCCAAAGTTTCTGTTTTTTGAAATGGGTCGTCTTTGCGCTTCATCTGATTGCACCTTGAAGTGATGCATATCAACCTCCAAAATGGTTTTCGAGTTGTTATAACCTAGGCTTTTACCACTTACAGGCATGTCTCGCTCCTAATTAACAAGAATGTGCTTGATAGTGCTCCAGCTGGTCCAAACGTTAAGTCTCCTTTTATCTTTTTCGTTACTGTATACTTCATGACCCTGTTGGTTGCTAACTAATTTAAGTTACTTTAGCTTGTTCTAGCATCCATGGCCAGCTCAGAAGCAGGCTTTGCCCACGATTTATTCGTTGAAGGGGCAACTGATACCAAGAATGTCGTACATTTTACTGAAAGAGGCCGGGTGGTCTCTACTACTAATGTGCGTGCTATTTAATCGGGTGTCAATTTGCTCGATCTGAGTCATTCCGCGGTTCAACCGGGTGAACTAATGCGAACTGCTCTTTTGGGCTAAAACTGTTTTTCAGTAATCGATGAAAAAAAATGTGAATCAGCTTCACATGGGAGTATTCTGCCGAATGAATCTGTGGAATTACTTGTATAAAGATTCATGAAATCTGCAATAGATTCATTAACAGTTGGAGTAAATGTCAATTTAGGATGCGTGGGTGCTGGAAATCAGTGGCCCTCCAGATTACTGATGTCAGTGGCTCTTCCAATTTTAGCATTAGCGAAAAACATTGTTGGGGGTGAATATCTTTCCAGATAGAGGACAAACTTTTCTGGATAGTTGTACTATGGCCTTCTTGTGGCCAATTCTTTCAATGGGAACTCAATTGTCGGCACTACAAGGAATCGATTAACGCTATCTGAACAGTTTGGCAAACAGATGATTGATGCAAATGATCTCTAGGCAAAAAATATCGCACTCACCATTTAGTTCACTAACCATCCCGCAAGCGCCAAACATTATATCAGCTCAAGAGCATAAAGCTGATCTGAATATCGCCCTGTGTGGTTGGGAAGCAGCCAGCCAACAGCATCAAGAGCATCGGATTCATATGCCAAGTTGTAAGAAAAAATGCACAAGTAGAAAAGGAACAAACGAGAAACATTGTCTTGGCAAAAATGACATTCTTGGAAATACAAGAATTTAGGTCTTCCCAGTTCAATAGTCCAAATCACGGGAAATTTCTAAACTGCTAGCAGACTATTCGGATTGTAATTGAACACGAAGATCACTTTAAAGGACTTAGTAGTTTCAAACTATCCCTCATTTCTTCTTTTCGTGACCACCTCCAGCAGACCTGCACCAAAATCCAAGAAAGAGCGTAAGAGATTATCTCACTGAAACACATTAAGCAAAAAAGATCAGCCCAGAATGATAGATAAAGCACCATGACCAGTATGCATTTGTTAGATTACCTCATCTTGCGGAGGACATTAGACATCTCCTCGCGCTTCTTCTTTGCCCTCTTGTGGGTACCCAGCTTTCTCTTAGCCACCTTCAGAGCACGCTTGTCCTTTCCAACTTTTAGAAGCTCGGTGATCCTTTTCTCATAGGGTGCAAATCCAGCAACTTCCCTGATCAAGCTCCTCACGAAATGGACCCTCTTGCTGGTTTTCTAAAGGACATAAAAGGAACCAAATCATACATAGGTAGCAGATAATTCAATTATTCCTAGCCTACAATCATTGCCAATAGAAGTAACTTATGATCCCTGCTTTTGCTAATACTACTTAAGGGAGAGAAGAGAAGAAACCCCTCCAGTATGCTCGAATGTAACAATTTGTATTTTGAAGTGGAAACCAAGATTTTACCATTGAAATTTAAGCGGAGTAGACTATGGCTACTGCAATTGCGATTTAGAGAGACATTAACACAGGTTATTGTATAGATGTGCACCTTTGATAGAATATGGAAGACAAATAGTGAACACCTACAGTATTAGGCACCAGCAGCACCACATATTTTCACCAAACTAGATACTGTTTACACGGTTTAGCCAATTGCATGAGTGCACTGGACTATTAAACAATTTCTGCCAGAACTAAACCCCGTAAGAGAAACCAGTTTCCTCCTTATATCCTTATACTCTCTCTACAAATACCCTCAAACATGATATCAGGGCATCCCTTCTCAAAGATATACCTCTCTCAATCATCAGCAAATTTCCACATTACAAAGGAAAAACATGAGGGGCAACAAATGCCTTCCATCAATCGCGAGTCCTCAAGATTATCTTCTAGGGACACAAAACTGATATAAAAAAACTGCAGCTTTCGAATTGCATCGATGAAATGCACATGCCTCAATATCAAAACAACAAAAAGGGAATATATGTATGCATTGGTTAATCGGTATAGATGCGGGATGCACTCACTCCTTTGCGATCGCTAGGACGCGGGGCGAGTTCCTTCTTGGTCACGATGTGGCCCTTGTTAAGGCCCACGAAGAGGCCAGTGTTCGGCTGCTTCGGAGCCATTACCTGCTCATCAACAACACGAACCCCACGTATCAGCGTGCGCTTGTAGAATCAATCGTAATCAAAATATGCAAACGGTACGCCCGTGACGCACCATGGAAAGGACCAAAACCGTAGAGATCGCAACAAGCAAAAAGATAATGAACACGGCAGCAAAAACAAAGCATCCAAAAGCAGGTCAAATTAGCAAAACCCTAACGAAAATGCGAGATTTCCAGCAAAACCAATCGATGAACATGCGACGACCAAAGCTACGCGAGATAAGTAAGTAAGAATATAGAGACAGATCAAGTATCACGAAGCTGATGCGTTGAACGATGGAGAGAACAAATCTCGTAGAAAACAACATGGAACACTCGAGCTTTTCGACCTTCTGAGTTCACAGAGGAAGCGCGAACGCTCAAAGCTTTCGATCTCCTGAGTTTACAGGGGAAGCGCTAAGAGATTTTTACCTTCCTGGATGGCCTGACGATCTGAGACGGTCGGCTTGAAGAAGACGCAGAAGAGCTAGGGTTTAGACGTCGAGCGTCGGCTTTTATATCTCCGCAAAAAGGGTGAGGACCAGAAGGTGGAAGGGTAAAGTCGTCATTGCAGATCGAAAGTGAAATATTGCAATGGAAAAAAGCCCCTGAAAATCCCAAAATACACCCAAATCCTAAACATTTTTCCTTGTGACAAAAAAAAAATCCCAAAGTAACACATTAAGGTTCCATCAATGAGCATTATTAAAAATCTGCTTACATAGACGCTGAAAAGCAAACGATGTTGCGCTCGTGTGACTTAAATGAACTAATAACGCATTATTTGACGGAACATTGACTGAGAGTAAATATGTCACATACGTACAAGTCTGGGATTTTTTATGTGACAAGAAAAAATTAGGGTAAATGTGTTATAATGGGCATTGCTTGGGGTTTTTGATGTTATAAAATTGAACATTGGGATTTTTGATATTATAAAATTGAACATGCACCAAAAGTTCAGGGACCATATTGAACAAATTAAAAGTTTAGGAACCACATTGTACATTTGATCAAAGTTTATAGACTATTTGTACTATTTTCCTTACCAAGTATGAAAATTTGTGTACTTTTACGGATACACTAGGAAACGGGGATATCATGTTGGCTAAAAGAAAACACTAAAGATGATACGATTATATATTCCGATTTGAAGTTATTAATATGTATGAAATGAATCAAATATTTTCTTGGGTCGTTCAAAGTACATAGAAAAGATATTTCTCATCCAAGCATTCTTCTTATGGCTAGATTTGATTTCCTAGTTCTTGTGGACAAGTCAAAATAGAGATAGAAAGAAAGATGTGGTCCATCATGGCTAGAAAGCTTCGCGGAGGAGATCTAGGGATGGTAGTACAGCTTCACCAAGGGTAGTGAGACATTGGCAAGCTTCATCGGGGATCGGTTGATGCGGGGAAACTTCGCCTGAGGTCACGCGATACCGAAATTCCATAATATGAAATTTAAGAGACTCGTGCTTTGAAGATCCGATTGAGCAATCTCATTCATACTTATGAGATCCAGCCCACTGATTGAACGCTCGTGCGTCGTGCAGCAATGGGGTTTTGTGTGCTGTCACATCACTTGAGCTCGCTCGGCCAAGCATCGAGTCGCCTGATTAACGCCCTCGCCTTTGACATCACTCGGACCGGCGGAGGAGAAATTGGTAACAATTCAAAAGTTAAGAAATTAATTTTTACTCATTATCTAGCAAATTTAGTTCTCCCTTATCGGGCAAGAAAATCGTCGAAAATGGGTAAAACGAGCAACTCATTAACCAATTTTACCTCTTTGCAGTTTTCTCTAAAATGGATGCAACGAAAGGACACGAAAGTGGAAAACATTATTATATTTCCCAACAAAACGGATATATTCCTTTTCCTTTTCATTTTCACCAATTTGAAAAAACGAACGAATAACGCAAGTTTCACTAATAAAAGCTTCCTCTGGACTCATCCGAAACTTTTATCGTGAATTGACGGAAATGCCCCCCCGAACGGGCTTTTCTGGGTAAGGTGGGGGGAGCGTTATGAGAAAAGCCAGTTCATTTTCAAATCATAAGACCAAACGGCTACTTCCCAAGCAATTCTCAGAGGTCGATCCCCTCCCAACCTGGCTCCTCGACGCCTTAAATTCCACCCCCTCGCGAATCCGCTGAACTCTGCATCTTCTCCCGTCGTCTCGGTTTCCGTCTGCTGCCGTCGATCGCGCGCTCGGGGTTCCGGCGTCGGTCCGATCGTCCTCGCGGCGGCGGCGGCGGAGGAGGAGAAGGAGAAGAGAGGGCGAAGAAGATGAGCTCGAAACCCTCGCTGAAGATCCGAGTCGTGGCGAGGATCAGAGGGCGTGCGGATCGAGAGGCCAAGCCTTGGATCTCCGTCCACAAGCCTGACGGGGAGGACTCGGAGACCGTCGCCTTGTCTTTCGACGCCCAGTCTGCTAGGTACTGCTCCGTCTCCGAGCGTGCAGTGCGTGCCGACTTTTGATTTTTGTTTTCTTTTTTTTTTTCTTTTGCCTTTTTCTGGTTGCGGTTTTGCGTTTTCCTGGACGTGCGTTGATGGAAGGAAGCTAGGTGAAGATTAGGAGTTCTTTTACTCCGCGGCTCCCGTGTCCGGATTGGTGCGGGATCCTGTTCATGATGTTCATTTTCTTCTGTCGAATTGCTGGGGAGAGTCGACGTCATTTGTGCACACATGTACACGCGTGTGCGCACAAGTTGTTTTTTTTTCGCTGGAAAACGAGAGAAGGCAATTTCTGTCTTCTGAGATTAGGCTTGTTTTTAGCTCCCCTGAGAATGGAATAATTGGTGCCGGTGGTGAGATGTGATGGGGGGGAGTGAGGAGTTGAAAGGCTCTCCCAAGTCTTGAGGAGAAGTAATGTTTGCATATCCTATCTGATGTCCATGAACTTTTAGCATGTGTTGAAGAAGAGGAGTCTAGCATTTGGATTTCCAGTACCGGGTTTTGCGGACAATGCTGAAATCGCCAGTCAATTTCACTTTCTTCTGTTAATATGTGGACTTGGATGGCTAAATCACCCTTATTTTGCAGTAGAAAAGAATCCCATCAAGTGCACTACTGCTATGAGCCTAACGAAGACAATGACAAGATATACATCAGAGAGATCAAGCCTTTTATATCGGAAGTTTTCGACGGTCATAATTTCACTACCATTGCTTATGGGGCTAGAGGCAGTGGAAAGACATGCTTAATTCAGGTTAGATTTGATAGCTCTAATTTTTTTGGCCATATTATTCATTAATCTTAGTTCTAGCGTATGCTATGGGTGTTGATATCTCTATTTTGAAGGGCTCGGGGGAGAGTCCAGGCTTGGCTGCACTAGCCATTGAAGACATTACTAAAGAAGCTGAAAGAGTCGAGAGACTTGTTGCAATATCTTTTTATGAGATTTACCAAGACCAGGTCTATGATCTGCTAAAATCAGAAAAGGCAGCTGTTTCAATACTCGAAGATGCTCAAGGAAAAATCAAATTGAAAGGGCTTTCTCAGGCATGTCCTCTTTGTAATTAGAGAAATGGTTCGAAGGACTTTAAAGAGAGATCTTGTGAATTAGTGACTTGATGTTGGCCAACTCCGTTTCCTGATTCATGTTCCGTAATGTTCAGGTTCCCATAAAGTCTAGCTCAGAATTTCGCAAGCTTTATTTTGGTGGTTGCAATTCCAACAAATCAGTCAACAAGATGGCTAATGAACTTCCTAAAAGAAGCCACAGGGGCTTAATTATTCACGTCACGTCTCTTGTTGAGAACACAGATGCACCTCTTGTTGGCAAACTGAATTTTGTTGACTTAGCAGGTTTGGATCACGCTTTTGTTGTCCCCGTGTTCTTTGGCAAGTATAAACTCTGCTTCCCTTTGACTTTGTCTTTATCAGGTTATGAGGACCCTCGCAGGAAAAGTAACGATGGCCTTAGCTTTGTGGAGAAGAATAAAATCAACAAGTCACTTTACGCGCTACAAAATGTTCTTCATGCATTAAATGCTAATGAAAACCATGTTCCTTTCCGGGAAAGCAAAGTTACTCGCCTGTTGCAAGATTCACTTGGAGGCTTAAATAATAGGCTCACGGTCATAGCTTGCTTGGTGAGCCTGGTTGCTTCTTTGCTCTGTTTACATGTCTCATTTGCATTATTTACTTATGATATCTAGTCATTTAATTTTGCTTAATTTGCTTCAACAGAACCCACTGTTGTGCCAAGATTCCATTTACATTACCAGTTTAGCTTCTCGGACTTATCAGGGAAGTCATCAGATTGTCATGGAATCTGCAAAGAAGAGCAAAACTTTGGAAAAATCAGTAATGATTTCCTCAGCTAAGGTTAGAATCTCACAAAGTGCTTCTGGTAAGCAAATTAGATCGCGGGTTCATCTTCTTCAAAAGAATGCCAGTTGTAAATCTGCCATAAAGGGAAAGTAAGTCGATGTTTTTCTTTTTTTCCTTTGACTGACAAAAATCTATATTGTTCTTTATTCATTGGGTATACATTTGATTTTTCTTCTTGCTGTGAAGAAAATTATTTGGCGAGACAAGTGGCTTGAATAATGGTGTGAAGGTATTTGACCTCCTCTTTCATACGTAAATGAATTTGTTAATTACTTTTATCTAAACTGGCAGTAGAACAAGAATGGTTCTTTTATGGCAAGAGAGAGGCACTATCTATTTGTTGACAAGAATGTCTAAGAATCGCCTCTCTAATGAGCATTTTGGGTCTTGAATGTGGATTGAAGTTGACTTAACTACTTCTTTTAGCCAATAAAGCTTTGGTTTATGTCCCCTATGGCAGGCAAGCTCAGACTCAGCTGTTGCTTCAACCGTTGAAGCTGGAGCACAAGAAGAGGTTACTTCTTTCTACAGATTTCAAACAACTATATTTCTTGAGACACAATTGTTTCCTTATCTAGTATTTTTATATATCGCAGGAAACTTCTATATCTGCTGTTGCTTCGTCTTTTGAACCTTTGATGCATGGAGATGTCAGTAATCCCAAATCATTTTAAGGTTTGAGGTTAAAAGCATATTGTTTCATAACTTGGTTCATGTCCTGATATTTTCAGGAAAAATCAGGCTTAAATGTTACCGAGAGTATGGTCTCGTCAGAGAAGGTAATTCAGCTTCTGCTTTTTTAATTTCACATATATTTATTTGATTTTATTAAAAAAAAAGTTACGAAAGATTTCTTTTTCATCAGCAAACTTCCCCTACGGTGTTGCAACATACTTTGGAAAGCACTATACCGCCAAATGTGGTAATTTACATGTCGACATTGTCTTCAGAAATTCTTAGAAGAAATACATATATGTATGCATTCCATTTTGTGTTTTAGGATGTTTCTCAGCTCTGGGAAGAAAATCAAGCGGAGGTTAGCTCTATTCTCAGTGGCAGCAAGGAAGCATTGCCTTCTCCTAATAGAGGTACAAACGCATTCCTTCAAATGATAGTACTTAGTTATAATTTCCCATGTTTTGATAGTTTGTCTTTCGAAAACAAGCAGGTAGTATGGGTAAGGAAAATTTGCAATGTTCCATCAATGAAGGTGGATCGCCACCCTTAAGTGTCAGATTGCAGGAGCTGTCAAACAGCTTGAAGCAATTGTATTCCTCAACTCCAAGCGTAAAGATGCCAAATGAGAACGTGGAAGCTCTGGAGCCAGAAACTCCAATAATTGACTCAAATTTCCAACAGAATGAGAGAGAAGACATTGCTAGCATAAGTAGTCCTTGGGCAGCTTCTAGGACATGCTACCCGGGAACAAAGGTCTCATACATCAATTCTCTCTAATAACAAAAAAGAGCATATCTCACTATTTAAAAACTGAATTTTTGTTTTGCTAATTCACCTTCTAAAATTTTTCTTGCAGAATTCCCTCATTCAAGAATATCTAAGGATTATCAACAGTGCTAGCAAGTGAGTGAACTATACATTTGTTTCTTTGAAATGAAAAAACTCTAGATTTATGGTAACTACTTGAGCCAGGAAACAGTCAGGCAAATTTTGAAAACTAGAATTGCAGAATTTGTCAACTGTTGGGAGCAATTCTTTTTCACCGCAATTTAGAATCGTGGACTTATGCTTGTCTCCATTTCTTCAATTTTTTTCAGGGACGAGTTGAAGGGACTAAGGGTAAGGAGCTTATTCTACAGAAAAGGTTTACTCGAAATTTTTTTCAAGTAAGTTACATGAACTGAACTTGTTAATTCAGGGAATTGGAGAGAAGAGAGCTACCCACATTCTTCAACTTCGTGAAAAATCTCCGGAGCCATTTAAGAGTGTAAGTACTTTTTATTGTTGCGAGTATTCATTCAGAAATTTGTTCTTGCACATCCGTCTGTATATCTATTTTGATGCTCGATTGAACCATTTCTTTGGTTTGGCCAATCATTGTCTCTCAGAATTCAAAGTGATTTAATGAGTGATGATAACTTTTGTTTTTAATTTCAGCTTGACGATTTAGGGAGTGTTGGACTTTCAGCAAAGCAGGTATGTCTTTCCGAGTCACCTTTGTCCCTGTTCCAAATATGACAATTTGAATCGGAGATGGAAAGATTAATTGAACGGAAGCTGATTGTACAAATTGTTTATTCATGTTCTTATAGGTGAAGAAGATGCTGGCAATAAAGTAGAGTGCCTGGACCATTCCTTGTGTGCAAGATAAATCTTCTATTGGCAATAGCTGTTGCCTCAAAACCGGGATTATCTGTGCGGAGCTTGTTGTGTGATATGCGATGTATTGTGTCCTCATGCGATCTGTATTCGTGGTGATGATTCAGGATGTAAGGAGAAAGACGACTTATCTTTGGTCATGTTGTGTTTTTGTGTACTTGCTTTTGTATCGACTGCAAAGACAACCCACCTCACTGCCGGTGTGTTTTATGTTGAAAGTATACTAAATTTGACGTGCTATACTAACGAGCCCGATATTTTACTACCGAGTGGCACTTGGGATTTAAGTTTTCCATATCTTGATTTTCTATTGGACCTATATAAAAATATAAGAGCCGGTGAATTAGGAAGGTTTAATTAAGAATAAAATGGTTTTGTTATGGAGAATACATTTCAACATTCGTACACTTCATTTCACTTCCCACTTCCAGTTCTCACGTTAATAGTGGGAGGGGACCTATACTTCAGCCTCCCTAATTACAACCGTAAATCACTGTTGACCTAATGGTGAAGATATAATCTTTCTAATTCCATACACCCCCATTAAATTCAAAGCACCAAAAGAGTGGTCCTTCCACGTAAGAATATCCAGTTTTTGAATTATTTTTGCCCTCGAGTTGTGTTGGGAATTCACGCATCTGTCCGATGGAAAAAAATCCATGGATCTGAGTCGGTTTATTAAATTGGTTATCAAAATATTTGTTTCTGTTCAAAGTATCCACCAGTTCCAGAGAGATTATCGTACTCATGTAGCACTTTCTTTCCTTAATTTTAGAGTTCAACAGATGTAACCTCCATACCCTGCTGATTGGCAAACAAACAAATGTATTCACTATTCAGTATGTGAATCAATTCAGATCTCGTCATCTTGACGACCGTTATCTTTTTATCTTCTGCTTCGAATCAGAAGGCCCCAGAATCCCTCTCTCCAGCACTCGAAGAGTGCAATGTGGCAGTCAGCCACGATAAATAACATAACAATTGAAATGACAAAAACAAAATGGAAAGAAGAGAGCATTGCGAAAATGAAAGAAGAAAAGGAGACTAAAATTTCTGAAGCCACGTCCACATTTGCAAAAGAATAATTGACTTTATTGGAAAAATGTAAACTCCATGGCTAATGTCCATGAAGAAAGCCATAAAGGGGCCGATGACAAGAACCAAATCTGGTATAAAAACATCATGACATCATTGACAAAAAGAACGCTTTGTCCCTCTATGTGTGCTCAGCCAAATTGTGTAAAGAGAAAAGAAAAGGGATCATTATTGGAATTGACAATTCCTAGCAAGCACATGATCCAGCCAAAGATCATGTATAAACTACAAACCAACCCAATAACAGAAGTAAACAAGATACATAAGCAACGTTTGCTTAAACTGCACATCGAAACTTCAAAATTCTCCCTCTTCTTCCCCGGTTTCTCATCTTCACCTTTTCTCTGACATCCACTATGCCCACAGGACGATGAAGGGGCTCTGGTGATGGCAAACTAGGTATGTATGCTGGCACACTACCCACACCAGAGTATTCGAACTCCTCTCCATTGCAAGGGCAACAGAGCCTGCATTTGCAGGTAGCTCAAACAAGAAAAGGTGGAGACAGTTCTGATTACTGAAAAGCAACCATCTCTCTTCCACCAATTATCTTCGATCCAAGCCTGCTCAAATCCATGAAGAATATGATTTAATGCTTTCTTTGGCAGGAGCCTTGTAGTAAAACAAAAAGTTCCAGCAAGATCTAACTAGTCACAAAGTTGCTTCCTATATAAGTCCCCAAGCACTTAACTTTGGAAGATGTCAAAACATACGCCGCCCACACACACACACACACACACACACAGAGGTACTGCCCAGGCTCTAAATAAGTTGAGACTGGACAAGCAAATGCTAAATCACACCCTTTGGTAAAAAGAGGAGTGATTTCGAGAGACATAAGACAAAATGTAATCCGTATGTATAACAGCAGAGAAGATGAGAATAATTGAAATGATATAAAGCAGCTAGATCCATAAAGTGAAGGGGCAAAAAACTCAAGGGTAGGAACATACTTATGCATGCACAACTGGAACTAGTACCATTGATATGTACTGGCAGAAGTTTCCTTTCAGGGCGGCCCAAACACAAAATCTCCTGCATCCTCTCAGGCCAATCTGAGTTCAATCGACGAGCAAAGTCCTCTACCTCCCTACATGAGAAGCCAACCCAAATGAGAGGCCATGCCAGGAACGGAACGTCCCTATTTGAAAAAACACCTACTATGCACTCATCATAAAAAATGATCCCTTCTCAACACCTTTATAAGGGTCGTGATAGACCATCACACCCAACCCATAAAGTAAAAGATCTTCACAATAAACTTGGTCTTTAGTGCACACAAATGAAGTTGTAAGGGAGGGTAAGTCGCTCAGGAAAGAAAAGCACAGATTTAATGAACAATCAAGTCCTCGCTCAAAGCTATGCTATAAGACCAGCAGCTATGCTGTGAAATTAACATTAAAGCACAGGTCCTTTTCTGCAACTCACCTATCAAGCTCTTCCCTCATTGCAGGATCTAAATCATCATACGGATCACCATCATCAGACTCAAGCTTAGGGGAAAAGGTGCCAACAGTAGAATCTTGAAGTTTCGAAGCTTTATGAGGGGTAGCCACCTCAAGATCCTTAGCCTCACCGTGAGAGCAAGCAGTGGGCACAGATTCCAGTTCCTGAAATAGATGAAACAAAAAAAAAAAAACCAAAATATTACACCTTGTCTACAAAATATAATACAGAGTGGATTTGCATGTCGAGTGAGAACTCGTCACCAACCTCATGATCACCATTCACCTTATTTGACAAAGCATCTTTTGATGGGTCCTTTCTCCTTCTATTTTTCTTTTTGCTTTTGTTGGCTCTCACTCCCTTGCCATCTGCAGACAAACATGGTTACATCTTACTTAGGGTAGATATGGAAAAGAAGGCCACACCCACAGCAATATCTGATAATCATGCGTGACATTAAATATGGAAAAAGGATGGACAGCTAATGCACAAAGAATCCCAAGAAGAACGTGAGGGCATATACCAATGAAAAATGTTCAACAACATGATATTATTTTTTTAATATGGACAAAAGCTACACATGAATTAACGGCCCAGAGTTGCAGCTACTTTCTGTCCACTAATTGAGTATGTTAAAATGGGCCACAATCAGGTAAACAGTATCATAAAGAATGAATCTTAAGCAGAAACAGGATAGAACATATATCACTGAATCAAAGCACGTATGAAGAAGGGCACCATACATTCTCATCTCAATCTACCTCCATATCCTAGAGAGTGTTATCTGACATTCTTACAGAATCCATGAACTCCAATTTAAAGCCAGATGCTCCAAAAACTTAACATCAATGTAATTCCACAAAAGGGTATATCCACACAAACCTCTTGTGTGGCCAGCCAATATATATTAAAAGAGGGATCTTCCCACTCTAACTACTAACAGTCCAATATAAGGCAAAGCTCAGGAAGACGGAGAGACTAAGCCAACAAAAACATAGGCTTTGCAGATCACTTTGACAGTCCAAAAATCGACGGCTTCAATGAAGTCTAGAATATGCACACTAAAACTGCAGTTTCAAATCCAAATCTCCACAACCAATCATATGCACTATCTAATATATACCTGCTCACAGTAACCTCGATTGCAAAAGTTCAGAATCAAATAATGGCTACAGAAAAAAAAAATTCCGCATCCTAATCAAAATCAGCAATTCATCCCCCATAAAGGGCGTAGATGTAAGTTTAGAACAAATCAACATGGGGAATTATATTGTCTTTCTTACAATATAATAGCTAAAAGCTAGTATCAGCAAATTGAGTTAAAACTGAGAGGCCAAGAATATTGAAGTCATACAAGTCACTATCATTGTATGACCCACTATCCACTAACATACCTCCGCTATTTATATAGGACAAGAGATCATCAACTGAACGTTCATCAACACGCTCCTCCTCAACCTCCACACTCTGGACAATGTGCAGTTCGCACTATTAGCAAGACATGCAAATTTAGGTTGGATCCTTGAGTATAGCATTGAAATTAAACACATACCTTCAATTTCTCTCGCTCTTTCAACTCTTTCCTTTTTCTTGCATATAATCTATTCAACAGTCGGATACGTGGATCATCGGTAATGTTTCTTAGAGGTTCCAACTTCTCCTCCTTAAAGGACGCAAAAATATTATATCACATGTGACCCAAAAACGCAAATAAGACATGTATCAACATAACTGATTAACACCTCCGTTAGATCATCAGGCAAATGAAATGTCTCCCGAATCTCCTCAGGAGTTTTTCCTTCAATAATTCGAGCAAGTGCACGACTGGTTAGATCCACCAAAGGCTTTAATTGCAGACTGTCGGCAGCAGATGTCAATTCACAGAGCTTTTTGGTATCCATTCGGATAAATTTCTCATCAAATGTTTTGCGTTCCTAGACATAAAAGTCAAATCAGAACAGAACGGGATAATTTTCTTTTTATACTAAAACAATCTTCCAAGTGGCCTCACCCTAGGAGGTATGACCATATATCAAGTCAACCTTAAAAGAAGACAGGTGAAATGAATTTCGATAACCAAAAGATTAGGAATGAATTCTATTGACATCAAACTGACCTTATTTGAGCGCCCCAGTACTTGATGAAATCGACAATAGTCAAGAATTAATCCCAAGATAGGAGGATTGACCCGTTGTGGAAGTACTATAGCATAGTTTTTTGAAGATCCCATGCCCGTTTGAAGTACTTCTTGGCATATCATGGGGCAGAACATGGCAACCTCCTCTTCCACTTGTTGGATTGAACCATCAGCAGTTTGGAGCCAGATGTATGACTTCATCTTGATATAAAAGAAATAAGTTCTAGTTAAAAATTTTGGGACAGAACTTAAATTCTTGATTAGAAATAAAGGAATCAGTTTTCACAAAAGCCAAGATGCAACAACAACAACAGCGCCCAAAAGGATGTAAAACAAAATTCTATGTAATATGCCTCTAAAAGTTCCCCTAAATTTCGACTCATATTATAATGGTTCATAATTACAATGGTTCGTTATAATCCAACATAATATCTGAACGATGTTGGTATCAACTATTGTCAAATTTGACATTTTGAGACACTCGCCCAATGATAACCGTTCCTTGTGCATTGCATGGGGCTGTTACTCCTACGGTAAAAAAGAAACAAAAGTAAACTCTCCCATAAATGTTGAAGACACGCACCTCGGGCTTGACAACTGCCATGGCACCTTCTGACATTTGAAGACTGAACAGCTACAACTTCTTCAGAGAGATGAACTAAGTCGAGAGTTTCACAGCAGAGACGAAGGCTTCGTAATGGTCAGAAAGATGGATCCCTGCGCTGAATACGAGATAGATTTCAATGCTTCCCAATGCAACAAAATACTCATTTCACATGACATGTCTCTCTGCATCTTAACTGCTGCTCCCTATAATACCGTCGCTGGGAAAAGCAAAAAAGAACGGGCAAGAAACCACGAGCTGTTAATCCAACAATCAAAGGGACAAAAATTAAGAACATGAAAAAAATAACCAAGACACTTAAAAAAGCACATACATTACAGCAAAATAAAACATGAATATCAAATCAGAGTTATGCAAGCTTAGGCCAGATAAACATTCAAAATCAATGTGAAGAGTCCACCGAGGCCAACGTATACCTATTTTAAAAAACTAAAATTTCACGCCACTCGGTCCAATTTGCTGCAAAATTACTTCATTTCATTTCAATCCGCACTACTCTCACTGGTCTTCTCCTGTGAAGCAAATGCTGAGTAACTAGCATCCATCCCTGCGATTGAATAAAAAGCACCCTCCTCGTACACACGATACAAATTAGCGGACCAAGATAATCCTCCTAATTCCTTCAAAATAAAGCCTGACTCAAAAGAAGAAAAGAAAAAAAACCCATCAGCACGCTCAATTCCCCGGCACCAAGCAGAAGCCAATGGCATACAAAGCAAACCATCGACAGAGCAACCGCATAAGAAGACGAGCCCAAAAAAACAAACGCAGCTCAATCCTCGAATTAAAAAGACGTCGCCTTTTCGGTCGGCATCGCGCGCGACCAACGAACGAATCTCAATTCAGATCTCAATTGACCGCCGGAAGGGGACGAAAGGAGCGACGAATTGAACGCGCTCCCGGCGGCACAATGCACCCGCCCGACGAAGAAAACAAGCACCGCCGCGCGGGGAGAGGGAGAGAGGACGGAGAGACGAGGACGAACCTGTCGAGAAATGGCGGAGGAGCGAGACGACGCCGCCACTTGCCGCCGGCGGTGCTAGGGTTTGCGCGGGGCCAGGGGGGGTAGGGATTGGGGGAAGAAGAAGAAGCGCCTTCTCTCTCTATATCTGCGGTGCTTTCTCTCTCTAGAATTTTTTTCTGTTGGAAGGGAGGGGAGGGCGTCGATGGGCGCTGTTGCGGATTGGTGGGTGTGCTGGGGCTTTGGGGGAGGTGCTGCTGGTGGTGGTCGTGGTGGTGGTCGCTCGCTCCCTCGCACGTGACAAACCGGAGCCTCGGGGGCAACCGCCGCACGTGTGGGTGGGTTAGGGTTTTTCTCCTCTTGGCTTTCGTTTGTTCGTGATTGCAAACTGAACTTAAAAGGTGCGTGCTGATTTGATTTGGATTGGATTGGATTGGATTGGATTGGGTTCGGTTCGGACCTCTCCCCCATTGATTTTCGGGCCGGTGCTCTCCCCTTCCCCGGGTCGGCAGGGGGGCTCGACCCTCGACCGATACTAAGATCAGGGGACTGCGATGGAAAAATGGAGCCAGGCGATTAAGTTGAAATGTCCGAACATACGAAGTTGTAGAAGAATTGTATAGCTCTTGAAAGCCATGTCATAAGAAAGTTACTTAATCATCGGATCAATTAAACATTTATGTCTTTAAAAGGGCCGTCTGAGTTTAGTTTAAGGGTTTGTCGATGTCTTTATTTGTGGGAAATCGCAATTTGGTTCTCTTTAAGTTTATTTCTATGTAATCAAGTCATCTATCTCTCTTAATTTGAAGCATCAAACCCTTCGATAAACCACAATTTCAATACACATTCGAGTTAGTTACATCGTATGGCATGACAAAGACATGTGATGCTAACATGGAGCTAAGTAGGACCATATCGGCAACAACAAGGAGTAAAACAAAGGAAGAAAATCTGAGAGAGAGAGAGGGTGTTTTGTACCGTCCATTCAATAACCCATTTGTTAATGATATTATGATATTTACTTGATTCTGCATATCTCTTAAAATTATGCATATATCTCATTTGATAGTGAATATCCTTGATCGATTATATTTAATATTGTGTTTATCTTATTACATTAAATAGTCATATAATAAAGCCTATAAATATACACAAACAAAAGGGTTGCCGAATGGAAATACACAAACAAAAGCCTATTATAAATATATTGGCATATACACAAATTCCATATTCCTCTCTTCCGCATTATTATTTCTTGAAATCTTAAGTGCACCGGATGTGATGTGCACCTCAACACCTGAGTGCTTCATTCAGGTCTGACCAAGCACCACAATGGCCGATGATGCGTCACTAAGTCGAGCTCTTCTTTTTCTTTTTTTTTTTTTGGTCGGCCCTACCCTATCTCTCACTCACGATACATACTCAGACTTGCGCCCCACCTCTTGCAGGGCGTGAGCGTCGAAACCCACATCTTAAACTACGCGGCCCCACCCCTACTTCCTGCGAAGGTGGGGATTCGAACTCCCCACCTCCCCCATCTCAAGTGAGAATGGTCCTTATCAAATTCTGGCTTATTTCGCTTGTTGTAGTCACCCCAGCCGCATCGGCCGCATTTATTAAGTTATTATCCTAACAACAAAGCCGACCGCAAAGGATGCATTCTTTTCGACTCCAATACCTCCGATTCTCGACTTTTCACTTCTCATTTCGAGAAGCCGACACCACCACTAGATCGCCGCCCTCAGACGAACCACATCTAGTAGATGCCGCCTCGCCACGGATCCACCAAGCCCCATGCCACTTGATGTCGTTGGAGAAACAAGTTTTCGTGGCATTGTTCGAATTAATTCAAACTCTAGTTAGACTTCTTTAAAGTCACATTGAGTTTGAGTTTTGATAGCAATATTATATTAGAGATTCTTAAGATTTTATATGGGATATTTTTCTATGTTAGAGAAAATTATGATATCTATATCTCTCATTTCGTATAGAAAATCTTCCTAATATAATATTGTTAACGTCCCCTCAAGCACTAGTTCTCCCTTAGCCAAATTCATTACAACACAATCACATCATTCAAAGTTCTATCATCCACGAAATTTGCGATCAGGGAAATGTTCGATCACTCGCATGTCACATAACTAGTAAGTGTTAAACCGACGGCAATTACTACAATTGTGGAAGGGACTCCGAACTTTTTTTTTTTGGGAGGGTCAGAAAGGGACTCCAAACTTTAGGTGCCCTCCGAAAGCTTAAGTTGTAAGCGAGACGAGGCGACCGGCGAGCCTCCTCGCAAACAATCGAGTTGGCGGCCGAGCTCAGGAGAGAAAGGTTTCCAGCCACGGTACTGACCCAAGCCAGAAACTGTTGAATCTGCTAATCTTGCTCCTGGCAATAAAACTGCACTGCGAATGTTTTGCAATGAATGAAAGGCTAGTTTGCAAATAGAGAGTCACCATATGCTATGACCATGTTAGGCCTTAAAAGGTGAAATGGATATGGTCTCTGCATTTGGATGAGGTTGGACTAGAAAGGAGATCACACATTCCGTTGAAAGTGAACTGGTCGTGCGTTATTGGACCGGGCTTGGCCCAATGTCATCTTATTTTACAGGCCCCACCTCGCCCAATCACTAGTTTCCTGTGTTTTTTTGCCCGAGCGTGGGACATTAGAATCCCCACAGGTTTTCTTGAGCACCAAACAAATCCACATGAAATTCTACTATGTAATAGCCACCTCAAGCGACGTATTGATCACGAAGTACGTTCTGTCGATCTATTTCTGATAGGAAATGCGTAAAAAGTTACAATTTATGACGTACTCAATGAGTGACGCCACATCAACATGTCACGTGATATAACCGTTACATAACAGATTTTCTTCAATCCTTACCAGTGAAGTGCAAATTATGGGTAGGTCGATAGGGTTTGGTGGACCTAGTTTTTTCTTTGGATTTTTGTATTACCCCCATCAATATCCAAAACAAAGAAAGCAGAATTATCTCGTAAAATTTCACACATTGCTCAATACTAAGCGAAGATAACGATCTCTCTTCCTCTCGCAATTCGAGAAGCACAAGCTACAAATGACTGCAAAGGATACTAGAAGATCTCCCCACGGTCCAGGACAGACTCACAGATCAAAAAGAACGAAGAGGGCAATCTAACCCATCCGAGCATAGCGACTTAGCAAGAAATCACGTGTGTGCAAACCAAAGTCTTTCCGTTTTCTCACAGGAAAGACTTCGGCTGCACACATAATCGTGGACCAGCGATGCTTTTGGGGATTCCTAGACAAGAGAAATGGTGGTTGGAGCGTTGTCCTCACGTATGGAAACGCAAGGTGCAGGTGTATTATCGAACAACAGCCACCAAAAGTAGCAAATGACTCCGCAAGTTGGCACAGCATCTGCATATAGTTGAACAATTACAAAGGTGCGAGCTTAGCATGCACTTTTACAACTTTTGCAGGCCCTGTGTATGGCCCGTAGGTTTCGTTACTGACAACATGTTTCTTTCGCACGAACGGTATATATTGCTCGGCCAATACCTAATGTCTTCTTGTTGTATATATCCAACATCGCATGGTTGCACATATTGTTCCTTCCCTAATGGCATAAATTTATACCTGATTTTTCTTTGCTTTCAATGATGAAAACTTAAGAGTTCGTAAGCATGCAAGTAGCCCACATAGAAGAAAAAGCCGCAAAGTGTACCGGTTGGGAAGAACAAGTGAGACGGGTATGTTGTCCCCAAACCTTCGGCTCACTTTGCCATTCAAGGAAACTGCCTTTTAGTCTCCGAACTTGCTTCTCAAATTAAACATTTAAGTTTCAGATTTTCAGATCCACAAGTTCCATATTGTAGCACGTGGAGAGCATACTTAACCATATCACATTACCAATCAACAACAAGATCCTAATAAGAAAAGATCATTCTAGGAGAGGATGAGGAGAATTTAGAAAGAGATGACTTTAGAACACAAACTGATTTTATTTCTGGGGTTAGGTCTGCCCCATCAACACACAATACATTGCCTAATATAGGTACAACTCACTAATATGACCTCCAAAACATTGGATTCTCACCTAAAGTACTTTACTTACATGGGGAAAATTATCCAAAAAGTCCTAAATTTATTATTTTTAGTCCTAAACTTTTTAACGATTTGTCAATGTAGTCTTTCTAGTCAATTTTGGCCAAAAAACGCTTAGTTGGCGGTCGTGCCACGTAGGACAGCCAGCTTCTATGTTAGCGCCAGCCGTCCTGCTGTGCCACATAAAACGGCTGATGTCCATATAAGTTATCTCTGGCCAAAAGGACTGCATTGGCAAATCATTAAGGATATATGACTAAATTAGCACAATTAAAAAGTTTAGGAAGCCAACCGTATAATAGATCTATAACATTTTAGACAATTTTTGCCGTGAGAGACAGGTGAGAGTTTGGAGACCTTCATCATGCTCGGAGAGAGAGAGAGAAGGGGGGGGGCGCACGCACTACTCTACTACTCTACTACTTATCGAATTAGGGAAATCCATACAAAGTAGAGATTGAATTGGTATGCTTTTTTATTGATGTAGATTTCTACATCTCTAGAATTGCCATAGAATACAAGACCTTCACTAAATTGAAGTAGCTGATCACAAAAACAAAGTTGAAGCTTTTGCCCTTTCACTCCACGGGAGTGCCCCCTTAGTCGAAGTCACTACAAACTCTCATCATCTGAAATTCTATCATCAGCAATATTTGCAACCTGCGAGAAAATGTGTGATCGAGCTCATGATCATTTAACTAATAAGTGTTAAACCGACGGCAATCACTACAATCGTGGAAGGGACTCCGAACTTGAGGTGCCTCCAAAAGCTCAAGTTGTAAGCGAGATGAGGCGAGCCGCGGGCCTGCTCACACACGATCAAGTTGGCAGCCGAGCCCAGGAGCGAGAGGTTTCCGGACACGGTACTGACCCAAGCCAAAATCAGCCATGCCTTCTTGAGGTCGTCCAGTGACATGGAAGCTTTTGAATCTGCTAATCTTGCTCCTAGCAATAAAACTGCAATGCAAATGTTTTACAATGAATTTAAGCTACTTTGCAATAGAAAAGTTCATCATATGTTATGACCATTTTGAAACTTAAAACTGGAAATGGATATGATCCCTGCATTTGGATGGGGTTGGACTAGAGAAGAGCTCATACATCCAATTTCTAGAATGACATTTTCATAGTTTAATGTCTGTCACTGCAATCTTACAACTATAATAAGTGAACCGGCCGTTCCTTGTTTGCCCGGGCTTGGCCCAACGGTATCAAGTGACGTATTGATCACATAGTATGTGCCATTAATCTATTTTTAAATGTATAAAAGTCACAACAAATAACATATTCATTGAGTGACACCACATTAACATATCACGTGATATAAGCATTAGATAATAGGCTTTCTCCAAATCTACCGGTGAAGTGTAAATTATGTGTAGGTTGATAGGATTTGGTGGACCCACTTTTTATAATTTTTGGATTTTAGAGTTACCCTGTCAATATCCAAAAGCAAGAAAGAAGAATTATCTTGTAAAATTCCACACAATCCCCAATATTATAGCAATGTCCGCTTTGAGTAACTCCTCCCAGCAAAGCGAAAGCAAAAATCGTAGGGCATGGTGGTTAAAAAGGGGTACGTTTAGCACAAGCGAAATAATCTGAAAAATCCTAAACTTGTTGTAATTGTTAATTTTTTTTAATCAATTGAGTCATAAACATTTTATATTTGTGTCAATTCAATCCATCTTGATCAATTTTACCCGAAAATTGCTAACATGGACGCCAGCCATCCTATGTGGCACGACAACGCTGACGTGGATAATTTTTAATAAATATTTTTATATCGAATTATTTATTCATTCTTTTCTTTTATTTTTTCTTTTGTTTCTCTTTCTTTTTCTTTCTTCCTTATTCCTTCTTCCTCTAGCCGGCAAGGATGAGAACGAGCCTCGCCATGGCTAGGCATGGCTTGGGCAAGGTCGAGCCTTGCTAGGGGCGGGTGAGGCTCAAGGCTCAACCTTGCCCTTGCCAGGGACCTTGTCGGCCCTCGCCTCTAGCCGATTGCCAAGGTCCGGCGATAAGCTAGAGGAAGAAGGAAAGGAGAGAGAGAGAGAGAGAGAGAGAGAGAGAGAGAGAGAGAGAGAGAGAGAGAGAGAGAGAGAGAGAGAGAGAGAGAGAGAGAGAGAGAGAGAGAGAGAGAGAGAGAGAGAAGAAAAAAAGGAAAATTAAAATTTAAAAAAATTCGAAAAAAGTATTTAAATATTATTAAAAATTATCCAAAAAATAAATAAATAATTCGAAAAAAAATGTAAATATTACTACAAATTATCCACATCAACGTCGGTCACGTAAAAAGAAAGAGAAAGAAAATAAATAAATAATAAATAATTCGAAAAATATAATATAATTAAAAATTATCCATGTCAATGCCGACATTCATATCATCGATTTTTGGCCAAAATTGGCCAAATAGACTCAATTAGCAAAAATGCAAAAATTTTATGACTCAATTGGAAAAAAAAAAAGGTTTAAGACTGAATTGGCATATTTGTAATAAGTTTAGAACTTTTTTTTTTTTTTAAAACCAAGATGTTTAAAATAAAATTCAAGATTTTATAACGTGGATCTCAGACCCATGAATGGGTGAATTCCATTATCTAATTCTGTTACCTTTTGTGCATTAAGTATTGATAATAGGCATAATTCACTATATCAATAGTGTACTGAAGATGCATAAGGTACTTCCTCACATTTAAAATGACATACCGGTTGGGACATTCGAGACGGAATTGGAGAGCACAAGGATGACAAGGGCAAGAACAGCGACGCCTTTTGCACTCGTGACCTGCACATGTCTCTTCGTGTAATCCCAAAGCGAAGATGGGATCCCAGTTCTTTCAAATCCTTCGACAGTGATGAACATCCCGCAAAAGAATATCAAGAGGGAATATGAAACCTAAATCAAATCAAATGTGTCCAAATAAAGGAGTTAACTGTTTCACTTGCTAATTTTCAGATAAGCATAAATGATAATATACATATAACTGCTAACACACTTTAAATTAATGGATTTGTGATTTCTTTCTCTCTTTTTTTCCTAATAAGGTAAAACAACAAGAGAAGGAGCTTCAACTTCCTAATTTGTGGCTCGCTTTTTTCAGTCCCCAGAAGCACGTGGAAACAGAAACCCTCTTATGCAAAGAACCTGTTTATTTAAATGCAACGGGCCCCTAAAAGAGAGAAGTTGATGACAATGTTGGACCGATGATGCATGTGCAAGTTCTACTCTGGAACCGTCGTCTTCTTCGATATGTAGAATCACTATTCATCAAATCGTCACACATTGTACAGAAGTTCTATCTTCATCACTAGACACAAATAATAGGTACTTGCGTTTAAAACATGCGCGTGTCTGAGTAGTCATTGAAAATGTCCCTCCCAGGTGGTAAGGTACCTAGGGGAAGGTGAACTTATAAGAAGGGAAAAAAAAAGTTAAATGGCTTCAAGGACTTTATTCAACCAGCTCAGATAAAAGAAAAGGAGTAATTCGTGTTCTCCTGCAACTTATAAACGAGATTAGTTTATAAATGACTCGTTAGATTTGAAGTGGACATTAAAATGAGTAGGTCATATTTCGACATCCAATAATAATGCTTTATAACTCGATCTTAGCAGACTTAGCACTGTTCGAATAAAAGAAGAACACTTTTGACGAAGGAAACTTCACCTTCTCCAGGGACGGTCGAGCGTCCTCGAAACCCAGAACGATTAGGGCAAGAGCTGCGCCAGTCGCCGTCCTGGACATATTGAGACCCATCAATAGAGAAACTAACATTCCTACCATCACCAAATATACACAAGTCTTCCACAATATCTTCCTCCAGTTCGTTGATGTGTTTGCTACTCCATCACACTCCGACATCTCATGGACGACTAGATGCGTCGCTTCGTGCTCGTCCGAAAACGCTCGGCTCTCGAGACCTAGTGTGTCTGCATGACCAGCATTCCCATTCCCGTTCAGGTTCGAGGGTACATGGAACATGGTGGCGGGCAAAAGCCTATGCGAATTCACATCTTCCTCGTCCTCCTTTAGAGTGGATAATACTTTCCAAAACATAACCAAGAGGATGAGCGCATTCAACACGAGCCCTACAAGCATTGCCGGAAGCATGCCTGTCATGAAGCTCCCAAAACTGAACAACCCACTCTCGACGACGATCACCAAGTTTCGAGGGTTCCCTATTGGAGTCGCTGACGACCCAATATTCGCACTCGAAGCGAGCGCTAGCAAAAGTGTGCGGGGCGCGATGTTCTTTTCCCTAGCAATCTTGAGCACAAACTCGGTCAAGACAATGCATGAAGTGTCATTCGTGAAGAGTGCGCTCGAAACAGCTGAAACCACGCAGATTCGGCATATCAAGTCCTTCATGCCTGTGCTCTTCCATGAGAGAAACTTTCCCAAGTATTGGAACATGTCTGCTCTTTCAAGGTACACACTCACCACCATTGTTCCGAAGAGAAGAGCAAGAATTTCTAGGTCTATTGCGTCATAAGCATCGACCGGGTCTAGAATTCGAAAGACCACCATTAATAGAGCTCCGAGAAGCGAACCTGCAGTTCGTCCGATGGGAAGAAAAGGAACAGCCGGAAAAACAGCCAAGACCCAGAAGATTGCAAAGGCTATTGATCCCAGAATCACTTTGACCAAAGAATTCATCATTTTTGGAGCCAAATGGATAGAAAATTTCAGGCTCTTTACAAGTTCGGAATAGAGGCCCTCTCTTTGTGTGTACTATTCTAACTTTGGGAGTGAAGTTGGGAGTTTTGTGCCAAAGAATGACAAAAGGGAATCGTGTTTTGAGAGATTGAGATTAATTTGATGCCCCATCGAATGCATGTAGAGAGAGCTGAAAGGAAGAAGAGCATGGAGGGGAAAAACAGGAAAAAGGACAAGAGAAATAAATGAGCTTGTCTTCAACAATCGGAAAGATTTTGACATAACACTTTATAAATAAATTTTGTGAACCAGTTCGTGGCTAAAGTAAGATTTCTCTCTGCAACCCTTTTTTTGGTGATTTCGATTGGTGAGTCAACTATACATCCTAAAAGAATTTTATTATAAAAAAAAACAAACGGTTTGCAATGAAGCAGCTAACTGATATTCAAAATACGACGGGCTTTATAGCTACTGGACATTGTTCACGTGAGTTTGGAGCTTCTTTCTTTTTGGCCTTTTTATTCCAAATTTTCCCCCATGGGATGTTGGCTCCATGTCAATTGATTTTTCCATGTCATTTCCCGTCTGTGGTACGGTCGATAAATACATAGAGAGAATAAGAAAATATTGGGTGGTCCTGGAGCTCCATGCCAGCCATGATTGTTGGGTGGTCTTGGACCTCTCTCACCCAAAAAATTAGCTCAAAGGGTGAGGCTTTCAAAGGATGTGGGATAACCCCAACAATCTCTCCCTCCCACATGGGGTCCTAGGTTGGAGCAATAACAACCCATATCTCTCATGTGACTATTGAGTCCAGAATTGTTGATAACCTAAGCTCTAATACTAGTGTTGAGTCATCTCGGGCATCTCTCACCCAAAAACTAGCCTCAGGACGAGGTTTTTTCTCACACTTGTGAACTAACCACCAATCATTTCCACAATCGATGTGGGCTAACCCCCAATACTAATCATCACTAGTTTTTTGCTTTCTATATTTCACTCCATCAAAAAAATCGACTAATGCCCAGAATCATCTGGTTTCGTGTTTGGGGGGTATTCGTGGACCACCATGCACGAAAAGAACAAGCAAGGGAGGGATAGCAAACAGTGATTCAAAATGCGTTAGCTAAACGGTGTGTTGTTTTCTCCTCACATGTGTTTGCAAAAGGGACAATTCTCTCACTAAATTTGAGACATATATATCTACGGAAAACTAAATCATGCACCGCCAATGTAAAGAAAACCTTACTCTTTATGATTTTACGGTTATCGAGATTAGCTTGTAATTAATGCATGCATAAATTTGACAGCATTCATGTGATTATTCGAACAATCCGTATGAATCCACCCACAGTATACAAATGGAAGTTCAAGTCCAAGTTTGGCTCCAAGTTTGACTTTCCTTCCTTCTCGCTCAACCATGGAAGTTCAAGTCCCCTGTTTTGATATTGATCAAGAGCTTTTGGTTCACGCAGCTTTATGATTTATGGTTATCGAGATAGTGGGTTGCTACAACCCTCAAATTAAAGGTAGATAAGACAGACGGTGTATATAGCTACCCTATATCTATACTGGTCAGCTTGTAATCATGCATATAATTGACAGCATTCATGTGATTATTCAAATAATCCGTATGTATCCACCCACAGTAGACAAATGGAAGTTCGAGTCCAAGTTGGCTCCGAGTTTGACTTTCCTTCCTTCTCGCTCTAACACGGAAGTTCAAGTCCCCTGTTTTTGATCAAGAGTTCCTCTGATTGAGGCCAGTTCATCGGGCATGAGTTCTTTCTTGGGCCATACCTTAAGCAAGAGTTTGGAGAGAGAGATAATCTGCAGGTGGACGAAAAAGAGCAAAATGAGTTTTTTTCTTGGGCCATTCATTGACCAAGAGCTTGGAGAGAAGATAATGTGCGTGTGCAGATGGATGGAAAGACAGCATATGAATGGTTGGCAGGACTATCCCCTCTGAGGAAGTTAGTTTTGACTTGAAAGTACACAGCCATGTTTAGCTCACAGAGAAGGAGAGAGAGAGAGAACAGATGGAATTAACAAGAACCCTCAAATAGAGATATGATATTGATATAGTTGATCATCTATCTTAATCAGAGTAAAAAAATATACATGTACATGAGCTCATCATTTTTTGGGGAACATGCAAAAGAATTATCCGAAAAGTCTAGTCACAACCACAAATACAATATTAGGTAGACGATGTCTCTACTCATCAAAGATATGGCCAGATGGAAACTATCAGATAACCGTCTTCCACTCGAGATGGACATAACCAAGGTCGACGTGCCCTTATGACAAGAGGATCTCTAGATACCTATATTTCATGTGCATCTACATCTACCACTCAGCGACCATCACCAAGTCACGTGTTATGAAATGCTGTGTGATTACGTGCTTAGATAGATGGTCTATATTACGAAATCTACCCGATTCGACCGCGTTGTTTTAGGACGCGAATTCAGTCCAAGGAGATCGATATTGTCCACGGAAACACTAGGCCAAAACAGATTCACGTTCGCAAAGGAAGACAGACGTATCGTTATCAATATCAATGCTCTCTGTTTTAGGGCTCCACAGCCGTCGTGGAGCTTAGGAAGCCATGCATGCGGTTATCTAATGTTCTTTCGCTGGCTACGTCCATCGATTGTAGTGCGAAACTATGGGACATAACCAGGGTTAGATCACAATAGAAATATTCTAATCGGATGGTTAACAAAACTTTACATCGCTAAAAAACCGTGGATACGTCACTTAAGGTCCGTTTGTTTTGCGAAAAATCCATGTTTTGAATAACATTTTCTTAAAAATGATCGTTTGTATCACTTATAAAAATGTATGAACAAAAACTATTTTCATCGTCCACGAAAAAGTTTAGATATATATTATTATCGGTAATGAAAACACTTTTTGTGGGCTAACTGTTCCAATCAATATAACCGATCATTTTCAAGAAAATATTTTTTAAATCGTTCTTTTTCTGCAAAACAGACGGACCCTGAAACAAGAGTTGGCTAGCTGAAATCAATTGTCAAAATCAGAAAAAAAAAATTGAAGAACAGCTCAGATTAAGATTGGTAATTTGACACGGAAGGTGGTAAACTTTTAGATGTCAGTGAGCTAAGCAAATAATAGTCGGTAAATTGAACACATAATGGTAATTTCGAAATTACTAACTAAACACTGGTAAGTGACTCAAACAAGAGTTTGTGATCCAATCAGGCAAAAGTTGGCAAATCACTCGGAGTAAAGATGATAATTATAAGAACTTTACACGTTGATAGTCTACCCGAACCAAAGTTGATAATTGATTTGAACAACTAGAATATTATAAAACAATCAAATAACACTTGGTAATTTGATATAAGAATTGGTAACTAACTAACAAGTTATTGGACAAGCAATACACGAGCCACAACTTTTTTTACCAGCTGGTACGTGAAATTCACCAACATTTCCAGAAATTTAGTGATGGGAAAATTTTCCATATTTTTCCTCAAAGGGAAGAACAGAAGTTTGCAACATTATGGGTCAATAAGAAGGCCAGGGCAGGGCAAGAAAATGTTTACAGTCTCACCTCTTCAATGACACAAATGGTCCAAACAACGTTTGCCTGCAAGAAGTAAACTTTACATGATGCATTGGTAATCATATCATCTTATGAGAATCAACCCAATGGCAGTCACTACAACGGTGGAAGGAATCCCAAACTTAAGGTGGCTCCAGAAGGACAGAGTGTACCCAAGGTGCGGGGAACGGTGCGCTTGTTCGCACACGATCAAGTTGGCGGCCGATCCCAACAATGAGAGATTCCCAGCCACTGTGCTGACCCATGCCAGGATGAGCCACGACTTCTTTTCTTCGGCTGCTGAGATTGCAGCGGCGGATGCTGCGACCTGTCCACCAAGCAAGAGAACTGTGTGGCAACCAACACATATCACTAGAATCAGTGCCCTGTGATTTTTAACTTCTACACACAATAACAAGTTTTGTTGATTGCAGAACTGTTCAGGAGATTCACATCAGATCAGATAAAAAGCGGGATCAGCTCAGAGTCAGGTTCTATTTGTCGCCATAGGGAGTGGCAAAGGAACAGAACAAAATGCTAATTATAAATTTGATGAACATTAAGGCAATTGCGCACATACCGCATCTTCGATTAGTCTTAAGTACTAGTGCGAATGCTTTGATTAGAACGAACCATCTGGGTTGATTGAAATACAAGGACGTCTTATAGAGCGAGGACCATATATTCTAACAGTAAGAACCGCAGGACATGAGCATGTTTTCTTTCCTTAGCCTATGTGTTCTTAATGAAAATAGGTGACCCGTCTTTGCTCGCATTCTGATATCAAATACTCTTTATGAGACTAAGACCGGAGGGTGTTAAACATGTATGTTCAGTCATTACACTAGCATTCCTGATAAAACAGCTGCATTGTGATAGTTTAGCATTATTAGCGTGCTTTCTAAGGTTGAAGTTCCTTACAAGCTAGAACAATGCACAAAGATTACCGAAATATGCTGCAAAAGGATAATAGAAGAAAAAAACAGCAAAAACTCAAGTATATCACTGTACCTGTTGGCACATTTGAAGCCAAGTTCGAGAGAACCAGTATGACAGCAGCCAGAACTGCTGTCCCACTAGCACGATCAATCTTGGAATAGGGTTCCATGAGGTCCCAGAGACTGCTTGGAATTCCAGTTTTATTGAATCCATCGACCGTAATGAACATTCCACAAAAGAAGATCAAAAGAGAGTAAGAAACCTGGTAAAAAAACAGAATAAACTTAAGAATAACCAGAGAGTATATTGCAGCACTATCAATGGACACCAAATAAATTAAAGCAAATTGATATGAGAGTATAAAGGCTTGGCTTACCTTCTCTAAGCATGGTCGTGCGTCCCTAAAATCGAGGACGACAAGAGCTAGCGCTGCTGTAATGGCAGTCCAAGACATGTTCAGACCGATTAACAATGCAGCCAACATTCCTACGGTGATCAGGTAAACGCATGATTTCCATAACATTCTTTTCCATCTAGTGGCCAAGGTTTCCTTCCCTTGTGAGTACTTCATCGAGAGTACATCACTTAACCTGTCCATTGAAAGCACCCTCTCGGAAGAAGCATGCTCATTTCTTTTCTGAGAAGAAGAGTCGGCAGTTGCCTCCTTTGACGCATTTGAATTTCTTCCTGAGTCAAGCGTGCTACTCAGGGCCCTCTGGATTTCACTTTCATTTGGAGCCAAGCGGCTTCTGAGTGTCTCAATTTGACCCGGGGTGTGAACATTCACAATGGGAGAGCCTTGCATATTCATGGACTCCAACCTAGAGTTCCATTCCTGAGAATTTAAGGACGAAAGATGCGACATTGTTGCGGGTGAAAAGCGATGAGAATTCACGTCCTGCTCGGCAACCACTTCAGTAGTAGCATCTTCTTCGTCCTTTTGAACGGATAATAGGCTCCAATACATGCATAGTAGAATCAAAGCATTAACAACAACCCCCACCAGCATCGCAGGAAGAAGGCCGAAAAGAAAACTTCCGAACGAAATCTTGCTCTGAACTGCTATAACCAGGTTTTGAGGATTGCCAATTGGAGTAGCTGATGACCCAATATTTGCACTCGAGGCAAGAGCAAGTAGAAACGGATGAGGAGGAAGATTATGTTGCCTGGCTATTTTCAAGACAAACTCGGTCAAGACGACACAGGAGGTGTCGTTGGTGAATAGGGCGCTGGATATGGCGGATATTATGCAGACACGGCAAAGCAAGTCCCGGGCTCCCCTGCTTTTCCATGAGAGCAACTTGCCCAAGTACTTAAACATGTCCGCCTTTTCAAGATACACACTAACGACCATCGTCCCAAATAGGAGACCAAGGATTGGAAGATCGATCGCTGCATAAGCTTCATCGGGCGTTATGACCCTAAAAATGACCATAAGCATTGCCCCTAGAAGGGAGCCAGCAGTCCGCCCGATCGGCAAAACCGGAACAGCTGGGAAAACCGCCAATACCCAGAAGACTGCAAAGGCGATAGATCCCAGAACTATTTTCACCGATGAAGCCATTACCATTTTCAGTTTTTTGGCCGATTGATGAGAGTTAGCACTCAGAACTCGATGGATTCAAAAAACACTAACTACCAGAACTTCACGGTCGATACATAATTCGCTTCCATGAGCAAGGTTCCCCATTAGAACATAGTGAAAACCAAATATAGACTCCAAAGAAGATAATCTCCTGGCGGCACTCTCATACTCTAGGCTGCTCGAAGGAGACAACAGTAACGGGAGTGCCGTAAGATGCCCTGACTTAACCAAATAGTCAATTCAACTCACCTCGACTAAGTCTTTTTCCACTGGATAATGTCCCGATCAGCTCGGTCTCTTCAAGAGCGAAAACAGTCTCAGCGATAGCTTTAGCTTCAAAAGCTGTCCGCGGCTTTAAACCACAAAACGAAGACCAGAGTCTCTGACTGCGAAAGGTCCCTCAAGTTTCAAACATGTCAAATACTAGATTTCTTCATTAAAGAAAGAAGAAGGACTAAACAAGGTATGATCCTCAGTTAAAAAGAGTGCTAAAGCGAAACAAGTACACCCATCCAATCTTGAATCCACTCACACGGAGTCTCAGTTAAGTCAGGTCGAGAATCGAATAGAAAGAACCAGATCAATCTCTGGGATCGCAATTCATATTGAACAGAGGGTAAACTGATAACCCCAGCGATTTTTTCAGTCCAATGACAATCTAAGGGACAAGCTATGTTATCCGAAAATGGTCATACAAATCCAGTTCTTCTCATTACACACAGAACAATAATGTTATAGTCGAGTCACACGACCTCAAAAGAACAGCAACGATTCACCTGAGTGCATGGAACCTGACGAGCGAGTGATCGAAGAGAGACCCACGAACGAGGGTGCCCTTTTGACATGGCCATTTCGAGCTCTACGTACAGATCGCATGATCCGAGTGACAGATCAATTCATGAGGCGACAATGGAAGTCTCAGTCTCTCACCAAGAAATCAAGCGTCGATCAGAGTACGAGACGTTCGTCGTTGACAATGAGTGGCCTCCGACGATTACCCAAAAGCATCGGGATTCAGGATCAACGGTTCTTATCCACTTCCTATATGTTACCCTTCCGAAAAAACAAAATTTGGCACTTCGTCTCTTCTTACACGTCACATGATTTGTCGTGAGCTCACGGTGACTTTATGCTAAAAAAGGTCCGGATTTTCTGAACACCCGACTAATTTTTATAGGGTGCGCATGGAATGCATTCCGGAATAAAAATTCCGTTCCGGAATGCATTCCGAAATAGAATGGCGTTTGTTAAAAAATTTCCGGAATGCATTCTGGAGCGATTTTTGCATTCTGGAATAAAAATGCGTTTGTTAAAAATACTTGATTCCAGAATGCATTCTTGATTCCGGAATGCATTTTCGATTCCGGAATGAGTTTTTGGCAAGAAAAAGAGAAGCTACTTTTTTTAGCTTCTTGATTCCGGAATGCATTTTCCCTATTTTCTCATAATTTTTTTTTTCAGAAAAAGCATAAAAATTGAAAAATTCTAGAAAAATTCATAAAAATTTCCAGAAAATAAAAAAAAAGTCAGATTTCGGGAAAATATGAAATTTTGTGAATTTTTTAAAAAAAATAAAAAAAATAAAAAATTTCAAAACTTCACGGAACAGCTTAAAACACATGTGGCCATCCACTTTGAGTGAAATTTAAATTTTTTTAGGTGCCCAAAAAAAATCAAAAATTTCAAAACTTCACAGAATGGCTTAAAATACATGTGGCCACCTATTTTGAGTGAAATTTAATTTTTTTGAGGTGCCCAAAAAAATTAAAAATAATAATAAAATAAAAATTTTCAAAACTTCACAAAATGGCTTAAAATACCTGTGGCCACCCACTTTGAGTGAAATTTAAATTTTTTTAGGTGCCCAAAAAAAATAAAAAATAAATAAATAATTTTAAAACTTTACAAAATGGCTTAGAATACCTGTAGCCACCCACTTTGAGTAAAATTTAAATTTTTTGAGGTGCCCAAAAAAATTAAAAAAAATTAAAAACTTCACAAAATGGCTTAGAATACCTGTTGCCACCCACTTTAAGTGAAATTTAAATTTTTTTAGGTGTCCAAAAAAAATTAAAAAAATCAAAAATTTCAAAACTTTACAGAATGGCTTATAATACCTGTGGCCACCCACTTTAAGTAAAATTTAAATTTTTTTAGGTGCAAAAAAAATCAACAAATCAAAACAGATTTCTGGAGCAGAATTAGTCATGTTTTACCAAACAGATTTCTCCTCCATAAATCAATTTCTGGCAAGAATTCCATAAATCAATTTCTGGCAAGAATTTGATTTCTGGAGTAGAATGGTTACCATTCGCACCCATAGAAGCCACAGGTCTCGAGAAAATGTGGCGAAAAGTGTCGAAATAAGGACTCGAATTCGGATGTTGAGAGCTGAGGGCTAAACAAATTTTGGTGCATTAGCTTGATTTTTCATTATATCTTGTCATTTAAATGTGGAAATACGGTTTTGGATTCGGTTCATGATGTCGCTGTCGGTATTTAATTCTTTAACCCATAATTGTGCGATTCTTAAAAAATGGTCTGGGAAAACTTGATCGGTTTTGATCTTGCGAAGGCCGGAATTGGACAGGCAAGAATAGACCTTTGCATTTGATTAAGGTATAAGAATACAACGAGCCCTATCATTCACCCAAGAATAAGAACACCTTTCAGTTCCTTGGAAGCAGCAGTTATGTGCTTCACATATATTTTCTTTAAGTCTCCCCACGCATGGGACGGCGCCGACGGACGAATAATGTTCTCAATCATGGCGCCAATATAGATAACATAATCTGTAACAGAAAGTGTAAAGAATGTGACTACTTTTTGTTTCTAGCTTAGGTTTATATCTTCAATGGTGACGAAACGAATGGACATTTGATCGGAAGGAACTCGACGTGGGCAATGCCAACATTACCGCTAATGAGTAAGCTTGAGCCGAATATGACAACAGGGTGATGTCCCATTTGAATGACACCTAACCATTTGAGGCAACAAAAATTTGGGGAGGAACTCTTTCTAGGACTCAATTAGTAGGTAGAACAGTTTACATGTTCAGCCATGTAGGGAGTTCCGTGTCATCTTCTCTGAAGTTGGTGGCATGTCTTCTCACGCAGACCGAGTTTCCCTCACTACCAAGTGCAAGAAGAGATTGCGAACTTGTGTTTTTATCCACTTCATGACAAGAAGGGTCTGGATCTCTACTAAACTACTATTGATTCGGTTCATTTAAATTGGTACAGACAAAATCATGGGCAACAACCCACATGGAGTAATCCCTGGCCGTTCTCTTGTCTAGTCTATGTTCTGTGTCTGGGCACACAGGGTCGATATGAGCAGGAAAATGCGTTTTGGCCTTTACCTTAAAAAAGGGCTCTTCAGGCTTATCCACCCATAGCACAACAAAAGCTGGCATCAGTATTTGGTAGTAAGATCATATTGTATCCATGTGCGGCATAGCACCAGATATACAAAGAGAATTACTCTAAAGCTTTTTTGTGTGCTTAACATGGACAGGACTTTTCATGCAATTACCAAACTAGAGCCCAGCACCACAAATTCTCTTACGGCCACATAACTAATGCGAAATTCATCAGTCACGTCACAGGTGATGATTCATACAGACATAGTCTCTAGGGAAATTTGAGTGAAAGTGGGCAACTTTAATTGGACATAAGATATCTTTCTTTCTCCCCTCATGATAGGAGATGAGGATGTAAAGCTTGAGCTCACTCAATCCATCATCTTAATAGAGAAACAGATACCCTAGAAATCAACATGGTGAAGTCGGGCTAAAAAGACATATACAATAACTGCATCTATTGATGGTCTCTATCATTTATTGCACACGACATAATGAATAGTGCACATTGTGCTAACTATACTTGCTACATGTAAAAGCTATGTTCTGTAAGGTAAAAGAACTAGAAAGAATGCCCTATCGATACCAGCACTCCTACCAAAATCCTCACTTAGCATTCACAAGTCACATGCAATCCATCTATCAGCAGTCATCCAAACCCAAGAAAGCAATGCTGTGTCTAATCTACATCTGGTTATCACCTCCAGATATGCTTTGAATGGGGTTAGTCGATTAGTAGATCTAACTTCTAGAAGTGCAATTGCTGGCTGTTGTACACATAGATGAAGCTGAGGAGGATAAAGTTGACCTCAGCTGACTTCAGGCTGCAGCATTGGGAAGAATGACCAACTGCTACCAGACTTCATATCCTTCCCAGCAACCTTGTCATTTGCCCACCACTCGGAGTTGATATTGGGCTTACTAGATATACCTCCATTCCTGTTGTCGAAGTTGAACTCTTTGGTGGATCCAAGTGTGACAGAACGATGCTTTTGATAGCTATGGTCCTTCTCCATTGGACCTGACCCCTTGACAAGTTTATCATCTGTACCTTTTTCAGTAAATCGTTCATCAGAATCATCGTCGACTCCCATAGTCCCACCTCTTTCAGCAAGGACTTCAGCCGCTTCATCCTCGGGACATTTTGATAAAGTCCCGAAAGAGGTCGCGGCTTTATTTGCAAGACAACGTGCAACATCTTCACCAGTTAATTCAAATGATACTCTGTGATCTACTATTGTCTCGTCATGTTTAGATCCATCATCCAATCTTGGAACTGATGCCCTTACGCTGAGTTGATTGCCAAAAGGAAGAAAGCCATCGCGGGACATGGGGCCAGTGCCATCGGGAGTCAAACATCCAGAACCCAGCCTCGATCCCACTCCCATGCCATCTGGTGTTAAAGATCCAGAGCCAAGTCTGGACCGCAGTCCTGCACCATCTGGGGTTATAGACCCAGAACCTACTCTTGAACCCCACTTGCGAGTGGAAAAATTTTCAAAGCCCCATAACCTGGGAGCTTCCCCCATTCTTAACTCGACAAAAGGATGTTTTCCAGGGAATGGCGAAGTGGTTCCCGAATATGAGACTGCTGAACCTGGTGATCTCAGGTTGCCACCTGGGCTTCCTGGATATGACTGATTAGGAAGGAATTCACAATTGGATAGCGAAAACTTATGGTTGGTCCCACCACCCCTTTGCGTGCGTTCGAGCGAAGATGTGAGCAGTTGAGCAAAGGGAACTTCAGGAGAAGAAGGCGTAGTCAACTGCACAGATTCCGGAGGAGGAGTAAAAGGAGCAGTGGATGGTTCGGTGGTGAAAGTGGAAAATACAGGTGGCGAAACTAGCTGGGTCTCATAGGCATAAGGTCCAATGGCAAAGATGGATGCAGGGCCTCTAGGAGAATAAGAATTTATGGAAAGAGAAGTAAGGGAAAGTAATCCGGCAGGTGATTGGGTCACGGAAGGAGGATCAGACTGGAGGAATGATGCAGGAGATGAGGGAGGAGCAATAAACGGCAGCACAATAGCAGTTGATGTGGCCTGGTTCTCTGCTGCAGGAGCTGTATTACCCAGAGTGACTGGTTCAGGGAGAAGGACAGCATGGCCAATTCGTTTGTTGCTCTTCTGATGTCCAAAGCACCAGTATAGGCTCCAGCAGCTGCCCCATCTTCTTTTCTGCATTTGCGTTGGGTAAAAAAAACACTGTAAGTTAGAAAGCACTAAAGTCTCATTGAAATAACAGTTATTAAAACATCGATGGGATCAAATATCAACAGACAAGTGTTTGTTTCAAGAAAAATCAGGCGTGTAAACAGAAAAAGTTTACCTTAACCCTTTTTTATGAAGTCATTTAGGGGACTCACAAGTACTAGAACTAATCCACAAGTTTTTTAAGAGAATTTATACTATTTTGATTCATTGTCATGACAATCCATAGGCTCCACTACCAGACCATGAAGAGCTTTACACAAACAGGAACAAGAGTTATAAATAGCTCATATCTGACTAATAATCAATCACCTTGCGCAAAATAGAAAAAGGTTACTCCGTAAGGGGTAAAATTTTGTGAGACCACAACCTAGAGGGGTTTAATATTTAAACTTTCTGGCACTCATCCTCATGCATAGGCTGGACTTTGGCCTAAGACTAAAGTGTGTAAATATACAATAATGTAGATAAATAGGAGTCAGAAAGATTTGAACTCGAATCCTCCTGTACTTATACCATGTAAAGTTTTGTAGGAGCACAAGCAATTGCTCTAAAAGCTTAAGCTACCAAAAAGAATACGTGCTTTAGCATTTAAACACTCTAACAATAAGAATAGAGAGACACTTCCAGCATGAAATCCTGACTTTAAGCAGAAATCTGCCAGAAGCATGCAAATGGCGGGAAAACTGAGGCGTTTCCTGGACAACCATACTTAGAAAAACAATGCTAAGAAGAAGGTACAAAACTTTGGATATAAAAAATCACCGCCAAGTTCCTTAGTCTAAGTCCCTTTCTTACAAGTCTATAAACACTCTGTCACCCATATGAAAGAAAAGCCCAAATCACGAGCTCCCAAACTGTGTCTACCGCGTCTTCTTTCTTTGGAGTGCTTACTGGTCATCAGCTTAATGCAGTGATCACTTCCATTTTCAATAATCACGGATATTAGAGAACTCTATGTGGTTGAATTTCTTCTTCTTGGTTTTAAAGCGTGTAATCAAGAAATGAGAATTCATGCAATGTGTATTGCAATTATAACGAAAACAAACAAAAGCAAATTCCACCTGAGCAGATTCAACTCTTCATGACCAGTCTACAAGATCTCCATACATCACTGCTCTTAAAGCAGTTAACAATCTCAAAATTCAATATGCACAACTGCAAAATTTACAAATCTAGATCAATCTTCTCAGCGACGAAACAGGACCTAAGAAAGAAGAAAGCCTCTGCCTTTGGTGCTGACAAATCACAACACCGCCTCCATTTCACTTACCCGATTCGCGACTCCGTAGCTCCAATCTAAAACAGACGCGAAATTTCTAACCACAACTCGTCCCAAAAAAAAGAAATTTCTCACAAAGACGAGGGGAGGGAATCAAGGCACGCACAACGACTCGATTCACGTGATGAGGCGTTCGACACCAACCGGAAGCTCAGAATCAAGGAGAAAGCGCGAATTCGAACGAACAAACGCACGGCGGCGAACACGCGGAAATGCACAAATCACGTCTCCACTCCTCCTCCTCCTCCTCCGACACCAACCTCGAGCTCGAAAATCGAAGCTTAAGAAACCACGCGGGACCCAAATCTCAACCCCGCGCCCGCGGGACACACGGCGGCGTAGAGGCAGAGCTCGGCAGAGACGTACCTGAGCGGCGGCGGGCGGGGCGCGGGCCTCGGCGGCGGCGATCGCAGTGGCGGCGGCGTTCACAGTGTCGATGCTGTTGATGCTGTGGTGGTGGTGGTGGTCGTGGTCGTGGTCGTGGTGGTTGCGGTGGTGAACGCCTCTCATTTTGTGGGAAAGCAGAGAGGCTCTCCGAACACGAAGAAGGAAGAAGGAAGAAGAAGGAAGATGAAGGGAAGGAAGGAAGGAGTGAGTCGGGTTTCGATCTGGCAATGGAAGCTCGGAGCAGAGAGAATGTGCAGCAGACAGAAGAAGCATATAATTACTCTCCCACATGTTGAAGAACTCCTCCCGCATATATATATAAATCTATAAATCAATAATAATTAATCTGATCTAATCTAATCTCTAATCACAGGACCCGACAATTCGGTTCGGTCCGGTTCTTTCCTCTCGTAGTTACCCTCCAATTTCTCCGCCCCATCTCTCATCAAAAATCATATATCGTGCCTGACGCGATACGTTTACCCTAAATTTTTTTTTATTTACCAAGCCCTGTGGTCGCGACATGTGCGCACTCCACGGGAAGTCGCATGTCCAAATTCCCATCGCGGAGTCCACCGTTTTGGAAAAAAGGAGAAATCTCGAGCTTTAAATCGCGATTTAGTTTGCAAGGGACATCCGGGGGAACGGAAGGGCCCAGCTAAGCAAAAGCACCAAATTGCAATACTCAAATCATTCTTTCTCAGATAAAACATGTGACCGCATTTAATAATTACACACATTTTTTTATTTCTTTTCACAATTTTTCCCCCTCAATTTCTGCGTGGAAACAGTTAGTTGGAAAGCTTCCTACGCCAAATATATATATAAATACGACCGAAATACAGAGAACAAAAGGGTCATCTGCCTCTGGAGTAAACAAATAGGGTAGTGGGACGGACGGGCAATTTATTTCGTACTTAATTTTCGCCCCCTAACTATTCAAGGGCCACAGAATAATGCGACGTTCTTGGTTTTTACCCCAATTTAATTAATCGGGGAAATATTTATATTCATTTATTTATTTATTAAGGAAAAAGAAAAGGAAACCCGCTTGAGGATAAGAGTTGGACGCCGGCCAGCTGTGCCGTTTTATTTTTAATTTTTTTTAAATTTTTTTAATTTTATTTTATCTTAAATTTTTGTTTGTTTTTTGCAGTCTGAACATGTTATCTGGTTGTGATTTGGAAATGATGAAGCCCCCCTCTTCGTAAAAAGGTCAAACGCCCAATTGGAGTCGCGAAGATTTTGGCGCATAATTGCTGCCCCCCCCCCCCCCCGTGGGATTCCAAGCTCGATTCCCATTCAATCCGCCACCCAATAATGATTTGAGAGAGGCCGTGGGGAAAAGTTAATGGTCCCCCCCCCAACCTCCCCGGGGGGGCGAATTGACGGGATTGCCCCCGAGCCGCGTCCGTATTTACCGAGGCAGGAGGGGATATAGATATAGATATGTAAAACGTATTTATTTGCTCGGGGCCAGCCAGCCAGCCAACCAACCTAATACATGCGACTCTCGTGAACGCCGTATGGTCCGTGCTGGCCCCGGCCGACCCGACCGAGCCGAGCCCCGCATGGGCCAGCCAACGGTCGGCATTGATGGCATGTCTCTCGTAGAATGAATGCCTTCTTTCTTTTTCTTCTTTTTTTTCGGTGTTCCGTGGACTCGTGTAGTGCCGTATTAAATTACCTTTCGTCGGATGTGAGGGTGACTTTCGATTTTGGTGTAGGCGAGGTTGGATCGAATGTGTAGTAGCCGCGACCGGGACAAAAGGGTTCCGCTCGTGAGCTCCACGTTGTGGGACGGTTTGGTGCGGGTCCTAATCGAATCTTGGATCCTAGGCTCGCGAGGTCGATAGAAACTTTTGCGTCCGCGACTTTGCTGCGTTCTGTCGGGAAAAATAGCATCGTGGGGGTAAGGAGTGATTTTGATAGAAATGGAAAGTGGATGCACGAGTTTGCGCGGGTGAGTGCCGTGCTCGTCCCTTTTTGGAAATTGAGCTGTCGCTAACCGACAAGTCAATAATTAAAAATCATAATTCGTAATCGTGGCCGCGAGATGCGCCCACGGAATCGATCGATTGCGAAAATGTGTCGTTTCACGTCCAAATTCGTCTTTTTCGATAAGCCAATAAATGTGCCGACCTGGCTGTTAGGCGAATCATGCGTTCCGTATTTATCCAGCCACGCTAGGAAATTTCCAGCTTATTATCAGGGCAGACAAGTTTGATTGGCTTCTCTACTAGACACGATTCTTTACGATCGACCTGCCCCAAAAAAAACTACATTTACCACGGTAAAAACCTCGGCCTCCACAATAATCACCTTCAAACTTTACCTATCGAAAGAAGTTCCATTCATCTCCGAAATTGAACCTGCAAGGAGCACCATCTCTTTCCTTAGAGTCAATCACGTGAACAAAATTTTTCTTTATAAAAAAAAAAAAAAGGCAAAAGGAAGAGACATTTTATATTGCACAATCGATCGATAGCGTACCACCCTCGCTCAAGCCGTTCTTATATTATTACCATTATTATTATTTCCTTTAATTGAGCATAGGATGAACTTAGCTGTCAGACAAATATAAATAATTTGGTATTATATTATATGATATAATCGGTTTAATTTCAGCAAGCGTCTCACGCAACAAATATCTGAAAATAAAAATATGAAAGGTCGCTTTCGCCCCCAAAGCGAGCCCCCCCAAAAGCGATAGAGACGAAGATTCCCTTCGCACAAGGTCCCGCGCGATTGAGGCAAAGACGCGAGGGCAAAACGGTCCAAGGAGGTTCCCAGCTTTCGCGAGAAGATGATTAAGTTAAGAAGAAGAAGAAGAAGTCGTCCCTTTACATAGAAGGGGAGGGGAACTTTATAATTTTTGTCAAAGGAGTGCACGTGTGGAGATCCACTTTTCGTGCATCTCTCCTCGTGCGCAAGATAGTGACAGGCCCTCCACTCTCTCTCTCTATTACTATTTCTTTCCCTCATCATCACCCACCCCCACTTCTGTCTTAAAAAAAGAGAGAGAGAGAAAAAAAAAATTGCACCGGTGCGGTTACGATTACTAATTTATTTTGGAATAACGACCCGAACGATTCCTAAATTTTGGGTCAATATATAATGTGATCTTTGGATTTTCAATTTATTCAATATGGTCCTTGAACTTTAGATCAATGTGCAATGTGATTCCTGGACTTTTAATTTATTCAATATGATCTTGAACGTTTGAGCATGAACTAAAAGTTCATGGACCATATTGAACAAATTGAAAATTTAGGAATTATATTGAACAAATTGAAAGTTCAGGGGCTCACATTGCACACTGGATCGGAGTTCACGGATCATATTGAACAAATTGAAAGATCAGATATCACATTGCACATTTTGCCAAAATTCGGAAACCATTCGTGTTCTTAGCCCATTTATATTTTCACGCCCTCAAAGAAAGAAATTATAGTTTATTTGCTTGGAGTATATGAAATACAATTAGGTAGCATAGTTTAAGTATGTAATTGAATCTTCGGTCATAAGGCTCGTACTAACAAGCACAACCCATCATCGGCTTTGTTCTCCATACCAGATACCGTCCTCGCATTTCAAACCTCCATTTACGCCGCTAGCTCCATCCTAGAAAGACCAATTTGCACTCATGCTTACCCAAATTTATACTCAAAAAGTGAAATCAAACACGGAGGATGAGATGATTTGAGAACGAAAATGGCAACTTGGTAAATTATGTCCGGATGAGAGATGCAACTTGAAATCCAATGCAATGTTAGGAGAATGGTAATTGTAGGTTTTGAAATGTGAAAAAGGCAATCCATAAGGAGCGCAAAATTTGAGGATGGTGTTCATAATTTTCTTTTTAAAAGAACAATGCATCTTAAAGTAATCCGGTAATCTTCATCAAATAGAAAAATAATTCCGTGAAATTTACGACCCTCCTTTTTCGTTTCTTCTCCGGAATGTCCAAAGTGCACTTTTCGACAATATACTTATGGCAAAAAAATTTCTCTAATTAATATAATGATTTTCAATTTTAACCCGTCCCGTATATGCACCGTGATTAAGATCACTTACGGAATTTTTCGGTAAAAAAAACCCATGATTTTGTTGACCAATAATCTGGCGGGTACTTGTTAAGTAACTAATTAAAGAAAATCTCTAACTCCGGACGCACGGAACGCTCTCGTGTCACGCGCGATAAGCATTTTTCGAATAATCGATCGTTTCAAAGTAAATACATAGAATGATTGTTGGGATGGTACTCATTAACAAGATCTCGACAGTAATTCTTGGATTAAATGTGCCATCATCATGACCAAAGATTTACTTTTTCCAATCCCCGGAAAGATAAAATGTCCCCACCTCTCCGTTTGGGATTCCTCAATCATCTCCCCTTTTTGGCCCCCTTTCTTTTCGCGACCTTAGAGTCCGTGTGACCTTATAAAGGCCACTTTTCACATTTACATTTCCCCCAGCTCCCCTTTTTCTCCTTTTTAAAAAAAAAAATGTATTTAATTTCCTATTTCTTTTTTTGGGGGCGATTCTACGATTATTATTTTTTTTCACTTTTCATGGGAGGGGGATCGAGCTAGATATTGAGGTACGGCTCCGAATCATCCTCAGCAACTTTAATAGATCTTAACCTCTGTAAACCCCAAAAAAATAATGATAATAATTATTATTATTATTAGAAAGTAACTCGAAAAGCTTCTGTTAAAAAGGTGCATAGGAAATGGGGTCGACTTTTTCCTTCGTCCGATATTGGGAAAAAGTGTCATCAGCTTCGTAATCTTATCTCAACACCTTTTTTACTTTCCATCTAAAATACAGCAATTATTACCTACTCTCCTCACCACCCCCACGGGATTGACTTGTGCGGGTCAAGAAATGGACTCGGCGTCGTGGATAGTGCGGGGGTCACGAGCTTTGATCATCCCATTATTAGAGGCTCGATTCCTTAAAAACAGAAGGGTCAAATTCCAATTATGCCCCCGAACTTTTTTTTTTTTACCTAACAAAAATCACGATCACGTCAAAAAGTCGCCATTAGTTCCTGCAAAATTATCAACATCGGGACTAGCTAAATATTCATTATTAGAACACACACGCGTTTTCACCGACACCCAACAATAGCAGCATCTTGATATTGATAAATTAGAAAATAAAAAAGTGGTGAATTTTGAACGAGGGGCAGATTTGGGTTTATAGTGAAAGTTTGTGATTTTTTTAAGGATTGAACTTAAAGTTAAAGGCTTTTTTTAGGAAATCGGACCT